TCCACCTATATCCACATCAAAACTTTTCTTTTTTTGCCAGTAGTAACCCATCAATAACCACAATATTTCAGGGTCGTCGTAATATTGACAAAGGAAACACTCTGAAATGCTGTTTGATATCCAGGAAAATGTGATTTGACGGATGATGCACGCAGGCCTGGGGTTGGGAGACAATCTCATCACGGAAGAGACCATGCTATCAATCCTAAAATCAATGACTCTCTCCCCAGCTACCAGCGCAGCAGTCCCCATACCGAGATCTATCCCACCTGGAAATTGCCAGCTGCCAGTTGCGTTGTCGCAAGTTATGTTCTGCCATGATGGCTGTTTGATCGTGAGAGGTAGCCGGGGAGTGGCGCTAGAGCCAACTCGGTTAGCTTAGCGATACGCACCCTAAGCCCACACAGAAACACCGCCAATTTCGAGGAGAATCGATATCACACTCCAACCGTCATCCGCAGCAGCCAACTCGACGAAGAATCAGGTACGGGACCGACCATCATTCCCTGAGCCATTACACGTTTACAAGATCCCGCCGTGGACCTTTGCTGACATCCCTTCCGTGTTTCTCCCCGACAACAGCTAGACATCATGGGTCGAGTGATTCGCAATCAGAGGAAGGGTCGTGGATCCATTTTCAGTACGTGTGGACAACATATATTTTCATTTTATCATGGCGCGGGTCCCCTAAATATCCAAATCTCCACATTCGTCCTAGCGAAATACAGCAAGAGAAGGGAAAGGGGGAATTTAGCAAGTCTATGGAAGTGGGAGAAACGCACGAGGAACGAGGGAAAAATGCAAATACATTTGTGGTGGTAGTAATCGATACTAATCGAACAACTCTTTCTCTACAGCGGCCCACACCCGTCTGAACAAGGCTCCTGCCCAATTCCGTACCCTTGACTATGCTGAGAGACACGGATACACCCGCGGGGTGGTGAAGGAGATCATCCACGACGCAGGCAGAGGTGCCCCCCTGGCCAAAGTCTCCTTCCGCCACCCATACAAATACAAAGACGTCGTCGAGACCTTCATCGCCAACGAGGGCATGTACACCGGCCAATTCATCTACGCTGGCAAAAACGCGACTTTGACTGTCGGAAACATCCTTCCCCTTGGCTCCGTGCCCGAAGGTACTGTCATGACCAACGTCGAGGAGAAAGTGGGTGACCGTGGCGCGCTGGGCCGCACGTCTGGAAACTACGTTACCGTCATTGGCCATAACCCTGAGGAAGGGAAGACCCGCGTCAAGCTCCCCAGCGGTGCCAAGAAGGTTGTGAAGAGCCGCTCGCGAGGAATGGTTGGCATTGTTGCTGGAGGTGGTCGTACAGACAAGCCACTGCTTAGTACGTTTTTCTAGCCATTCCCCCAAACCGCCGAATCGAGACAGACGAGAGAAAGCTACGTGACCTGGGGATTGCATTCACACACACACACACATATATATATATATATATATATGTTTATTTATTTAAGTATGCTAACCCACTCTATCAACTCTACAGAGGCCTCCCGCGCCAAACACAAGTTCTCCGTCAAACGCAACTCGTGGCCTAAGACTCGTGGTGTTGCGATGAACCCAGTCGACCATGTACGTTATATCTCACATTTCTTATTTTACCCCACTACGCACACCCAATACTACCGCCCAGCGTGCAGAATACTTACTTCCTCAACTAGCCTCACGGTGGTGGTAACCATCAACACATTGGTAAAGCCTCGACAATCTCGCGGTACGCGTCCGCAGGTCAAAAAGCCGGTCTTATTGCGGCCCGAAGAACTGGTCTGCTCCGCGGTACCCAGAAGACTAAGGATTAGAAAAAAAATAAAAACTGTCTCTGGCTGCTTCTTAGCTTTGCGTTGCTGGGGTTCTATTTTTTTCTTCCCCCGCCCCTTCTTCCTCAACCTCATACTTCCCTCCCTCTTCCCTCTCTCTTCCTCCTCCTCAGCCTCTGTGTTTAAATCTCGGCGACCATCTGCATCTCCATCTCTTTATTCCTCTTCATGTGTGTCTCTATGTCCCTCTTGCTTGCTTGTTTTCCCCTCCCAAGGGTGCAAAAATTATGATGACGGGTTAGTTGGCTGGTCGGTCGGGAGTGTGGTGTATATTCACTTTAGAAAAACCAAAAATAATACTCACACGCCCTTCTTTCTGTTTCCTTCTTTTTATTCTCGAGGTGGCATATACAATGCGGATACATGATCATGTAATGCGCATTTTGAAGAAAACGAAGGCCGGATTGTGTGGAGCAAATAGAAGGCTTACTCCTGCTGGGCCTCTCTGGAGAGGTACACCTGGAGTCGAGCGGTGAGGAAGAGGTAAAAGGGATGCAAAAGGAAAGGACAACATTACATCAACCCGATTACTCTAGGACAAATAAAATTAAGAGAAGAAGATAACATGGAACCTTGAACTTGAAACGTTCACGATCCTGTCGCATCTTCGTCTGCTAGTGATGACTAGAAGTAGATGGACAGATTTAAATGGCTATCATTCTACATTTCCATCATTGTGGCTCTGGGAAGAGCTCTCCACCCACCGCGTCTGTGCTTCAAAGTCCTTTCTCTCCTTTCCTATCAGGTTCTTCAACCCGAATTCCCTGAGTTCTGAAAAAAGAGCTACAGCCTCATCATACATGCTGTGTGGAGTCCATCCATCACGCGCGACAATTCCCTCTACAGCTCTCCAAAAGTCTTGCACTTCATTCCATCCTTCTCCATCCTCTGTGTGTCTCTGGAGCTCGTCCTGTGTAAAGTGAATTGGGCACGCGAAGTTGAAGCCTAGCTCGTGCCAATGTCTATATCAGGGATTAGGAGGCATTCTCATAACGGATATTGTAATTCCGGAGACCGATTTTATATATAACATACCTTTCCACTTTTATCAGTGATTCGCGCAATGGCAAAATATCGTCGTCCCAGGTGTCGCCGACAAAGCTTATAGGCTCACACCTCACTCGCCCTAGCTTTAAACGGAGAACTCTGTTGAGGTTAGGGTTGAGCTTTGCTGTTTGCTGTTCATAAAGATAAAGAATTATGGAACTAGCAATCTGCTTTTTCAACCGGGCCCTCTCATTCAGTTCAAGATCCTTAAAATTTGGCGGTGGTTTCAAAATGATATCACCTTGGTAGTCAACTAGGCGTGGATGGCGGCCTTGAAGAACTAGAGGCCCAGCCCAAGCTTCCTGCCAGTCAATCACGCTAGTGATACGGCCTTTGTCCACAAAGAGGTTGCCGGCATGGAGATCTGTATGCCAGATCGTAGATGCGACGAGATTCGGGTCGTCTGTTGGCAGAAGATAAGGGGCCACTTGTAGATACTTTTTGAGAAGAGAAAGGTGGGCTTCGGGGGAATTCTGCGCTGTGGATGTTATCAATTGATCGGTCGCAGGCTTGGGGATCGCGTATTGCTCAATCCATTGCTGTTCACGACGTGCTAAAGCTACCACATATTCATGTGGAAGGTGCCCTGAAGGAATTTAAGCTTAGAAATATTGAGTGGGAGATGATTGACTTACATGGACCCCGATCTATATCCATCACTGAACGTTCTTTTGTCCAAAAATCTCTTGCTACAACAGGGCCAATGGAAAACCGTGTCTTCACGTCCATTTTAAGTTCTGGTGATGTATCATTCACAACTTCAGCGACCAAAGCCCCGGGGACTGCCTCGCCAGAGTAATAGAGATTCCCATATCTAGGTCCCATGTCAGCTTCACCAATTGCAGTTCATTGAATTTATTATTCATACCTGCTGAAAGATACCGAAAGAAGCTTATTTTCAATCAATACCAGATCCTTCATAATACCAATTCTGTCTTCTAGAGAAAGATTATCCCATACATCCTCCAGCTTTGTCCCTGTAGCTTCCTCCATGATAATGTATTCAGCACCAACAGGGTTATCGACGCATGCGCTCCATGCGTGAACCTGTGGGGCAGGTATCCGAAGTACTGTACGGGCCTATAGCAGAGTAAACCGGATGTCCCTTGTTGAGGACAGGGTGGGTCTTACAAAATCTATCGTCGCGACCTCTGATGCGGTGGTATAGTACTTGGGTCCGGCGATGGGGTGAGGTATTCTCGCAATGACAGTAGACCCATTGTCCATCTTAAGATGAAAGGTCTTGTTAAAAGAGCCTTCTGCCAACTTTGTCATGGCAACACAATTGTTCGCTCCAATACTTTCGGCCGCAATACGCTGGAGTTCCAACACATTGAAAGGCGTAAATCGATCCTGTAGTTGCTTTTCCTCATCCCAAAGCCAGCGACCAGCTGTGTACCGGAAGAACTTGTCATATTTGGCGAGACTGTGATCCGACATCGAGAGGAACTGGCTTGGGACCGACGAAGAAAACGGGGATGAGCACGTGGAAAGTCGGTAACTCCTATAAAACTTTGATGAACTCAGGCTTGTCGCTGGAAACCGTTGAAATAATGTCGCGCCCTTCATCGCGTTGCTGGTTATTTTGTGGTCAAGAATTCGATCCAAGGCGAGATCTTGTTTGACATCTTGCAGAAAGACGATCAGCGATATATTCTCTGAATCTTAATGATTCAGTAATTGACTGGTCTATTTGTCTTTCAATACAATAGCACGGAGATCTGATAAATTAGTTATTGCTCAATCAATAAATCAAAGCAGAATACTATCTGAGAAGATGATTGTAAGAGGTGGCTATAGAATGATAAAATAGGTAGTTAGTAGTAGTAATAGTAAGAGTAGCGTGAAGTATACACATTGATATATAAACGTTAAGGTAGCAATCTCTTATACTCAAAGCTAACCACTGATCTTCTAGAATCAACAAATATCAGTGAGTTATAATTATTATTCTTCTTCTTCCTTATACTCGTATGCAAGCGGAGTTTATGACAAAGTCCTTGTGTGATGTTAAATACATGCAAGAGTTGGTAATGCCGAGATATAACAAGAACCTAGGAAAATTAATGAAAGACAGGATTTGGTACATGCAATGCAGGTTCTCAGCTCAGAAACAATAAGCTAAATCAGATAGTAGATCTGTCTGAAGATACCTACTTGGCAAGTTCACATCCCTTTATTTTAGAAGCTGAAAGTTGGCTCTGGATGTGATGTTGAGGTGTCTACCTTCTCATCCACGAAGACAATCGGTACTTTACAATTAAATTTAACAAAGATGAACCTCGGAAATCCAAAAAAGAGAAGGCAGGGCAAACAGGAGATGAACTCAGAGAAGAGATGTGAATAGCCCTTGATATGTCATCTGGACTCTACTAGCATGAGACCGACCGTAATGCTAATCCATGTACATGAAAGCGATATCATGATCGACCATAAGGTGGCCTCTCCTAGCCGTTAACTAACGGCCCTTGGTAGGCAGGTGAGGGTAGCCTTGATTGGCAGTGTCCTTATCTTTCTCCTCAGGGGCAACCCACAGCTCGCCACAGGTATATATTCAGATCACTTAATAAAGCTCACAACCAGCAAACCAAGGGTGCTCCAATACTTCGCGCGCTGTTGCCCGTTTTTGAGGATCCAAGTTTGTCATCCAATGGATAATATCCTTGAATTTGTCGTCATTGACATTTGGCCAATCCGAGAATGGCTTGTAGGGGTGATAGTCTGCCACCCGATCGTCCCAGAGAAATCCAAGAACCTGGCGGTTGACCTCCTCATCACCAACATGTTTCATGAGCCCATTCAATCCTTCTTGATCCCCAAAAAAAGAAACCTGACGTTGCAGGCGAATGACATGAGGGAATGCACCTTGCATTTCATGTTTCTTCATATCCTCATCAGCTCCAAAGATGACTTGTCCAAGCATGGCATAGATGCACTGAGTCAGTTAGCTAGATAAGAGTCTAATCACAAGAAGTGCAACATACCACAGCTGCAAAGGAGAAGATGTCAGAAGGCTTGCCAAGCTTGCCTTTAAAGTGACCCTCTGGACTACGCCAGCTATCATTACCAGCTAACATCCCTTTAACGCACTTCCCTTTAGGGAGATAAGCTGTGTTTTCAAGATCAATGACCCGAACCTGCTCAACGATTGTCTTTTTACCAGTGCCACAATAATTGACCATGATATTGTCGGGTTTGATATCTGCAATCAATTAGTCTTACACTATGAGACTCAACAGTGCTTTCATTACCTAAATGGACAATATCATGGCTGTGCAGCTCAGCAATCCCTTGCAAACTGGCTTTTAAAATCTGCTTCCTGGCTTGCATGGATATTTGCTTTCTAGCAAGGCTCAGAAAGTCATCATCCATGTACTTGTACACAAATATCTGCTGATCTGGAATTGTGTCATGTGGTAACCGTAGAAATGGGCTTTCATGAAGCCGTGGGTGTATGTCCTCATTAAAGCTTGAGAAAATGGTCTTGGGGATGTCCTTCAAAATGAATTTGTCTTGTCCAGACCTGGAGCGCTGTCAGTTCAACAACTACACTACATGATGGGGGCGGGTATGCTCGCACGTTGCCAACCAAACGCGACCGAGTTGTGGTCTTTCCTGAATCAGTTGTTTGAAGAGATAGCGACATCCAGCAGCACCAATCAATTCGCTGGATGGAGCTGCCATATTCTCCAAAATTCATGAGAGATTGAGATTTTTTTTGACAAAGAACATATTGGGCAAAGTTGATACATTGGCGAATCACTATGTTGACCGATTATATACACTAGTCAGCTTGGAGTTAGAGCGGATTGGGTGACTGGGCAGGTTTGTTGCGTTTTCTCTCGTGGGCTCTCTCTTATCTTCTGGTCCTGACCGAGGTTAAAAAAAAAAAAAAAAAAAAAGGGATGTAAGAGCCCTCGAAGCCGCCATCACGTTAACAAACTACACGGTGGGATTACCCAGCTAGTAGAAGCCATGGATACGTCCAGATGCGCTGGTGATGCCAGTGCCATGAGGTCATTGCAAACAACCGCCAGCCCCAAAGCCTCGGCACACAACAAAGTTGAACAGGCTACGGCCAAGCTGCCAAGCCCAGTCGGCTATGTCTGGAAGGTGAGCCTCAACAGAGGCTGCGGCAGGAGTCAGCCAATGCCAAGCCTGTATTATCACATGATTCAGTTTCTATGATGACTAATGTACTTGGTTGGCCTTGGCGGTCTTACCCACGACATATGCCGGCCAATCAGCAGCCGCTCTGGTGAGAATTCTGCCACCCGTGGCAACCCCGTGACTGGCGAGGTTGTGTTGTGCCAAGGGGCTTGCAGGCGTTGCTGCCAAACTGACCAATGGGGCGCGGCAAGTCACGGGGCAGGGGGGCCAGAGCGGCGGACTGCGGCCCATTTGGGAAACCGTCGGCGGAGGGAATATATATACAGGGCGCAGCGCCTGTCCTCGCTGCCCAGCCATATTTAATCGGGCAATGGCCGCTCAAAGACGAAAGAAACAGACAGAGACAGACCGAGAGCAACCAGAAAGGACCGGGGAGTGGAAAATCTCAGACCATCTGCAACTTCTGTAGCTCTTCTTGTATCCTATATCTGAATATATCTGAATACTTCCCAGGAACACTCTATTAAGATACCATAGAGAAAGAAAAGAGAGAGAGAGAGAGAGAGAGAGAGAAGGATTCCGTACATCATAAACATCCCCCACAGCAGAAACAGAGAACCAACTGCAAAAGCATCTCCCAAGGAACCCCGCTTCTAGACAAACGCCCGCGGCTATCTTTGATGGCCTTGAACACCGTGGACGTACCGTATCACTCACTTACCACCTCTTTCTCCGCCTCCTCAATATCGCTCCGCCGCCCGCCGTTACCGTTTCGATTCCTGCTCTTGCCTGCCAAATAAACCCCTCACAGAGCATATCCACCTCAACTTGCTCCCGCTGGCAGTGACCATAAGAGGTCTATATCTTATATATATATATATATATATAGAGAGAGAGAGAGAGAGAGAGAGAGACCAGAACACGAGTCTGTATATATACCCCAGAAACTTCGATATCAAAATCAAAATCAACAACAACAAAGACAACATCCATCACACGTCAAGAAAAACAGTCGAAGTATATATCAACAACAAATGCCTCAAACAATGGCAGTGGTAACCACGTCCTCCTCGATCCGTTGGCGCGCAATCGTCAACCGCGACGCCACAGCCAATGATTTTGTCTATGGCGTGCGCACCACCAAAATCTACTGTCGGCCCCGCTGTCCAGCCCGTCTCGCCCGCCGCGCAAATGTCGAGTTCTACGACACCCCTAAACAGGCTGAGAAGGCGGGCTACCGCCCCTGCAAGCGCTGTAAGCCGGAAGACCTCCGCGCCCCGCCAGATCCGCATATCAAACTCGCCCAGCGCGCCTGCCAGACTATGACCCTGGCGGCGCTGCGGGCTGCCAGCGGTACTAAGAGTGGCGAGGCGAGAGCCCGGCCGACGCTGCAGGATCTGGCGAATGAGGCTGGGTTGACCCCGTCGCATTTTCATCGCGTTTTTAAGAAGGTCGTGGGCATTACGCCTGGGAGGTTTGGTAGGGACGTTATGGAAGGGAAGAAGATGAGTGCGTATTTGAAGAGGTTGGAAGCGGGAATTAGCGCCAACGGCGGAGGGTATGCGGGATACGGCGGTGGCGCGGGAGCTTGTGGCGCGGGCGCGGGAACGGGAGCGGAAAAGGCCGATGCAAACGGAAACGGTAAGTCATCGGCTGACTTTCCGAGTAAGGTTGGCGGGGATGCTGGTGCCGCTGTGACGGGATTGGGTTTGGATGGAGTAGACGACGTACTCTCCGCCATTGCTACTACGGATCCGCAGAACTACACTGTTCTGCCTGATGCCGTGCCTATACGCATTGATTGGAATGAATTCGATAGGATGTTGGGTAGTACTGGTGGCGGCGATGCGGGACGTAATAGCAACAACGACCACAGTAACGGTCGTCGACATCCACATCATCTTCCACATAATCACAACAGTGATTTTCCCACAGGGAAGCAGCAACAATTGCAGACGCAATCAGAGACACAGAGACAACCCCCCATCACAACAACAGCACCGCTCCACCCACACATCCTCGACCCAAATTCCATAAACTCAGCAGGGCTCCTTCTCGACCACTACGAATTCCCCTGGGAGACCCCCGATTGCACCTTCAACTTCTCCTCCCCGCCCCTTCGCCATACCTCTACGAGCGGTGATGCAGACAGCAACGGCTCTCTCTCCCCCTACATCTATGACCCGCTCATAGACACAAACTCGGAGTTCTACAGTAAATTCATTGACCACAACAGCACCACAAACAGAAACTGCAACATAAACTACAACAACTGCAATAACACGGACAACGGCCTCAAACAACAGCAGCAGCAACCACCACTCCACCTCCTAGACCTTTCCGAGGACTCTTCCTCACTAACAACAGTAGACACACCACCATTCCTCGTCGAGTCGCTACACGCGACGGGCTTCTCATCTGGAGAGTCCTCAGCGTCCTCGACTCATGCGTCGCCGTTACTGTTTGAGGATGTGGATTGGTATGGGAGTCCGAGTATATTTCAGACGTATGCTTAATACATAGATGTTGGTTCCTTTCCTTTTCTTTCTATCTGTCTTCATCTCCATTTTCATGTCCATGGGACGTGACGGAAAGGCATAGGTGTTCTGGCGAATAATATGAGAAACTCGGAAAATGAAAATTGGGCGCGACTTGTGCGTTTTTGAGACTTATCTTGCAAAATTGCAACTTTTGCCACTAGGTTAATGTTAAGCTATTTATTGCCTTTGATGATCCGCTCATTTCATTGCTATCATGTTTTTCACAAATCCAACTGAAAGCAATGAGCTGTTTCAACACTTTGCTGCTAGTTAGTTATAAATATTTTATTTGTAATGTTAAGCCACCTAGGCCACAACGACCATAAAACGGCTGGCTTCCTCCCAACCACCTATACTTATAAGCAGCGTTTGCAAAGCTGGGGCACACCGTTACATTATAGATTGTATGTATATATTATAGTTATATATATATATATTAGACTTTATAAGAGTTGTTTTGGTTGATTACTAAGATAGAAAAATTTCTGAAAAAGGAAGGTTCTCAGCCAGAGTATTTTAAAAAAAAAAATAAACTTTCCAGCGTTCCAAGTCCTTGCAAACTTTGGAATGGGTAGAAACTTTTTTTTTTTTTTTTTTTTTCATTCGCAAGCTGACTAAACTAAGGGGGCTCGGTTTGCTTTATTTTTTTTTGGCTGGCTGGCTGGCTGGCTGGCTGGCTGGCTGGCTGTTTAAGTTAAGCACTGTTTGTTTTTTGAGTTAAAAGCATCTCAGTCAAGTGACCATGGGGCTTCCAAATTGGCCGGGGTGACAACAAGGTGCTCTCGAATACGCAGTATCCAAAACACAGGGTCTGGTTCTTAACGGGATGAAGCAGAAGGAGAAGAAGAGGAGGAGTATGACCCCGCATCATGGAGTTGAGTTAAGGTACCGAGCGTCGTAACCAACCCTGTGCGTTGAACTGTGCGCCGTGCCCCGACATTTGAGGTATCATTGATTGTGGAACTCGCTTTAAGACCATCTGAAGATAAGGATTGTTTGTATGCATTAAATTGATCCTTGGACACGTCCTGGAGGGTCAGGTGATGAGCAAATAACCTTCTTTAGCCAACAGTTTCACAGTTATAACCTAACCCGTGTGCACAACGGCATTTGGTTGGTTACAGAAGGAAAAAAGCTTATTTTACATGGCTGTGCCTTTGCTTGGCATTTCTTCAGCCCCTCCCGTTTCTTATTTACACCTCGCCCATCGCTTCTACCGAAAGTAGAAATATATAAATGCGAAGACAAAATGGCGCCAAAAAAAAAAAAAACCAAAAAAAGAAAAGAAAAGGTCAATATAATAAATGGCAGGAAAGCAGATTCAAAAAAAAAAAAAACAATATAATACAGATATACAAAACAGCACGTTCTGAACTAAACCTAAATGGAAGACTGTCGAGGTAACTTAAAAATAAGGTTAGAGGTTAAGAATCAACCCCGAAGCAAGCACCAATGGTTTGAGAGGTCGCGGACGAATGGCATAAAAAAAAAGGTAAACAAAGCTCAGAAAAAGGAAATTCTCCACCTCCTGAAAACCTTATTCCCTACGAGCTCATATGTAGAATGGAATGGTTTCCGGAATCAGATCTTGCTGGCACAGGTGAAACTGCCGTGGATAGCCGTTTCCTCACTGATGAATTTTCCAGAGACGTAGAGACCAAAGACGCACTGTTCGTTCGTGGAAACGGTTTTGTTAGGAATTTGTTTACAGTTGGTAGGCTTAAAAGATTGTAGGTGGTTTAAGTATGAAGTGAACTTACAACGAAGATGCCACTACCGACGCAAAAGATGTTGAGACAGGTGACCATTATCTTTTTCGGGCTGGAGAAGTAGCTGCCTTTGTCCAGGTGGAGCCCGAACCAACCGTTTAAGGCGACTATTTGGTCGCATTCGTTAGTTACCAACTTTAATACTGGATGAAATGGAGGGCAGGGCAAAACGAGAAAAAAAATTGGGGGTTGGGCTAAGCGTGGCGACTTACGAGTAAACCAACTCGCGAAGAGGGCAGTCTGTCCGAGTAGAATCCGTTTTGTTAGTTTATTTGCTTTTGTTATTCCCGCCACCAACCATCCCTGTTTCCTAAAAGGGAATAAAACACTTACGATCAAACTGAGAAGATTGTTGAAGCCGGGGATTGATTCTGCGATGATCCAGGCCATGAGCCAGAGAAAAACAGCGATACCAACCCATGCGCCAATTGAAGCGAAACTTCGTTGCGACATGCGATCTGTGCCACGGAATAGCCGGACGTATACGTATTTGCAGGCAACATGTCCGTTGATGACGCCGGCAATAACGATCTAGAGCAGTTGTTAACTAGGAGCGATTGTGTTCGTGCTTTTATGTTGAGGGCTTAAACATACAGTGGGGAACGCGATGCCATATGCAATCTTGCTAACAACAGGCCCTGTTGAGCCCAAAGCTGGCGATGCAACATCCCTTCCAGCAAAACAATAGATGACGACAGCAGCGATTGTGTAAACGGTCGTGTTGGTTGTCTGGAGAGTAAGCAGGGATTTGGTGTAATCGCGAGGGTTTTGGAGCTCAGATGCAAATCCGAAGAATGCTACGTGGCCCGCTATATAGAGAGGAACGAATAGTGATCAGCATTGAATACAATAAGATATACAAATCACTCTTCGATAGGAGAACGACTTACAATACGCGAAGACAATATTGCTAGCTGCCAAGAAGCCGCGCGCAAAAGTTGTCTTTACAAACATATCAATGCCAGTGCCAACTCGTTGAATGCCGAGTGCTACTATTGTAATCATCACAGCACTTATAATACTAGAAAACGCTGCAGTTAAGATAACATCAGTTAGTGATTGTCTGAACATAATTCAATTGGAAAATCTCTGGAGGTTTTTCAAAAGCTTGAGGGGAAAATATTGGGAAAATTAGGACAAGGGAACTCACAAATGATAGACAACCAAGAAACCTTCTGAAGTGTTCGGGGTAGAGTAAGAATTAATGAAATCAACATTCCCGTAACGCCGAAAATAATACTGCATGTTCTATTATTCGAGAGAGTGTCCATCAGGACGACAAATGTAAGGAGATGGCTTCCCATGATGAATATTAGGAAGAGTAATTGTCCAGCGCCGAGGAACTCACGGCCAAATCGGCCCATAAGAATCTCTCCGGCGTCAGCCATGCTATGGACCTTCGGATAGGCAGCTTTAAATTGGCCGATTGTGTAGCCGGTGTACGTTGTCAGAAGGCCAACGAAAATGAGAACAAGAATAGCACTAAAAGTCGGAACACGAAATCGTTAAGATATCGAACAAAGAATAATATATTGAATACTGGTGGGAGATAAGCGTGGACTCACGGTACTAGGCCCAAAATCGCGACTGCTGATGGGAGCGCCAGAATCCCTAGAGACATCGTCTCCGCGATCATGACTACGGTCATATATCAGTACAGCGCTTCTTTTTCTTATGCACTTGGTAAAATGGCCAACAGGGATATGGCTTTCATACGTAGTCCACATTGCCTAAATCGAGCACCCAGGGATCATCAGTAGATGTCATTGACATTTTTTTCAAGGCTCATGTTGGAAGATACGTATGTAAATGTAAAATCATGGAGGACTAATATAACTTACCACCACGTTAAGACTTTATATTTCACATCGGCTGTCTCCTCATTTCCGAAGGGATCAATAACCTCCTCGACGGTCTCCTTCTCGATTGATGGAATGGAATTTATATGGTCGATCTCAAGCTTCTTGACATCCTCATCACTCCTCTCAAAATCAGGGCAGACTTGTACCTCCTCGCCTTCAATCGCAATGGCCATTCTCTTATTATTTCAAAAACGAGAGAAAATGAAGGAAAGAACAAAAACAACAGGAACAGCAACAGTAAAATGAAAAAGAAAAAGACTTAATAAAAAGGAGAGAGGCCCGATCTTTCAGGTAGTAACCGGGCGTCAGTATCGGCATGCGAATTACCAACGTCGGGCTGAGTCGTCGGCTCTAGAAAATGAACGATGATTCCAAAGAGAGTGTGGGGTAGATAGATATAAGCAGTCGGTGAAAAAACGGCCAAAAGACGGAAAGCTAAGAATGAAACAAAGGTGTATAGGGTGACCTGTGGTGCCAGTGGGACTCTCCGTTCCCCCGTTTTCGGCTCAAATCATACTTTTGAGCTAAATGAAAAGACATCTGGAAATGCCCAACCACCTTTCCATTTCCACCTTGATGCCCATGTGGTCCTTTAACCTGATCATACGCGGCCTCAAATTATTCGGTTGTGTCTGACTCCAAACTCCTCGTTCCAGCTGGTGACAATGGTGGGGTAGAGCGCGCGGGGCCTATCGCTAAGTAAGCTGCTCTCTGTCCTCCCCCTCGGCGTCCTTGCCCTGCCATTGCATTCCCATCCATATTTCCACCCGTTTCCGGCTTCTAGGGTTGCACTCCGTTTGTATCATCCGCCCACCGGATGAGACAGGGGGTTCGCAGCCCAGCCGCGGTTGGTTGAAGTACCGCGATAGCCGTGTCGTTTCAAGATCGACACTAGCAAGTGCTTGGCGATGTGGCTTGACGATCCGCCAGGCGACATGCGACGCCCCTCGGCTGGTTTGTCCAGGGCGGCAGAGGAGATAGATCCGCGCTCTTCCGACCTCGGCAAGCTCAAGCGGTGGCCGGGAGCGCATGATTGGACGGGTCAATGACGTGACGAAGCTGGACGCTGGCCGCTGGCAAAGAGAAGCAATCCATTGTTACTTATGGAGGAGAGGGCCAAGCATCGACTCGTGCAGCGGGTGTTGCCAACATGCTCCGGGAGGATTTCGATTCGTGTCAAGCAAACAAACCATCGCAAAATGGTGTTGACATGGAGGCATCGTACGGTACCTGGGTTCATCATACTCTATGAAAAGAAAAAATAAAAGAGAAAATTAAAAATGAAGAATACTACCTTCAACACAACATAGAAATAGATATTACCTCAGGAAGACACTTATCTCTTTCCTCAGTACTATCAACTTTGTAAATAACTCAATAAAATGAAAATAAATTAGCGCCTACAAAGAGGCTAGGGCACAGTGCTGGCGGCCGAACTATTCCACTTTCAAAATACGCAGACAAATTCAAACAAACCTTTCTTTTATTTCCTTTTTACCCCTTGTTCTTTTTTAGTCAACTTGTTTTTATTGTATCGTTATCGATTATATTAGAAACTCAATTTCTTTGATCAATGGCATGCATCGTAACTTAATGCGGCTAATTTTAACGCACAGCAAAGATCGACTCATCCGGCAGTTAGAACATGGGATCAAAAGAATGTCAAGCAAAAGGACGATTTGATGAATCAACCGGCCATACAAGCACTTCATCTTAGTCAAGCACTCCTACAAGAAGAATTATGACAAGGCATGCGGGGACCGCCACAGAAATGGCCATGATGAGACCTACTACTGTTCTTCCACTCCTGACACCAAAGACCTTTAATTACTACTACCACCACCACCACCACCACCACAAACTGAAGCCTCACAAATGCCGAAAGGGTGAAGGATAGATTGATGTGAAGAGTAGATCGATAGATCGATAGATATGATGGATTTGATTATTTGATTTGATTTTGCAACTTCATGTGTAATACTAGTTGGTGAATCTCTAGATATCCGTGTGGTGGTAGCAGTCCAAGGGGTAACTAATGATCAGCACTGGTCAAACTCTACAGTGCTAACCATGAAATAGCTACTGGCCTCCTGTCAGCCGCGCTCAACGCCTAAAATTACTTATAAGGAGCGCCCATCATCGGGGGGTCCTATAATTACAGAGGGGAGGTGTTGGAACCCTGGGCTTTCTATTGCAGACTGGCGCACCGCACATATATGTCTCAGCTACCAACATGGAATACAACGAGAAACACTCCTCGGGAGGTTTTTACTAAAAGAAGTCCGCATTGCTCTCTTTATTCACTAATATCACTGCAATGAAAATGACTTCGCATACAGTGGAGAAATTGAATTTAAACAAGAATAGATTGAGAATGATGATCAAACTGCTCCATAGCTTGATCTCTATTAGTTGTTCGATTCAACTAATAATAATTATTAAAATATAATATTGTGTTGTGAACCCGGCCTGCCGTGTTTTGAAACCCGAAATATTCCCTTCGGATTGTTAGTTAAAGCTTGAATCCGGGAACCAGTTTTTCGGGAATCCCGCCCCTTAAAAAAAAAAACGCCCGGGTTGATTCGTGGCAAATAGGCGGCAAATAAGAGGGCAATGGTTCGATAGAGGCCGTTATCCAGCATTTGGGTTATCCATACCACCAACAAGGAGGCGGGATGAGGGTTCGTATTCGGGACTCGGGTAGTGGCAAGGACGTCACCGCGGCAATCACGGACTAAAAACCAGTTACGGGAAGCCCGGGTTTGGGCATAATCCACATTATCCCGCCGCAACAAAAACCAGAGCAAAGTGCTGGAGCCTGTGTAGATGGAAGGAAATACGGTGAATGGGTAAGCAGTCTGCTAGCCAAATGATCTCTATTCTATTAGCAATCCATCGAATATATCGAGAAAGTAGGCAGCCAGATAACTGAAAATCTCTATTCCTCGAGGGATCGATCAGATCAGGCCTCTAATAGAGGTTGTCCATCAACCACACCAAATATACGATACGAAGCTCCAATATTAATGATATCCAATCAATTATTCCTAGGGATCGAGCTATTTTTACAGGTATAGTACATGTACATACATCAACTTAACTTAAAAATCACAGATATTCCCATCATCCGACATCCAATGATAGGCCGCCATTGATATGTGCTGTTTATAAGTAAAGATGTTGGGCATGATGATAGGAAGCCAGCTATCCTATGAATTTTTTGATCTAGATAACTAGACTGATATTCAGTTAGTGCTGATTATGATACTCACTCAAACGCTGCTGATTCTCTGGAACTGATCTTCTGTGAATCACAGCTCTGCAGTACTAGTATGTTCTCAATTTCTTATCTTGCATTCTTTTCAGCTGTTAGAATCTTTCAAAACGACAGTACCTGAATGAAACCAGATGTCTAAAGGAAAACTTAGTTTGTGGTGGAATGGAAGTTGGAGATATCTCGAGTCTATAAGGGTTTTTTCTTGGTCATGAAGCATTCATGGAATGTTAGTTGATGTTAAAAACCACCTACCCCCTACTAACTCTATTATCCTTTACTCATCAAATCTTTATTTATCAAAATTCAACTAAATAAAGCCAAATATATTGTATATTTAGATAATAAATACTTGATATATACGGCCTTAACAGAGAGTATATCATCTCTTTGTACTCAATACTACTCTATTATGTTGATTATATTTCTTACTAAGTTATACTGAATAAGTTTATCTTTCTTTTTACCATTTTAATCTTTCTCCAGCAGTTAACACTTGCACACCCACATGAGGAGTACAGGGCCCGACTGCCAAGGGACTCAAGCAGGATGCTGATACTTGCAGGAGGTGGCCTGGGGGGTAACCAGCGGTGGCAGCAACCAGCGGAAGCTGGGGACGGTGAGTGCAGCCGGCGTGGGGGTGGCAGGTCGGGATCACTTCTCAGTGGGGCTCTTCTCACACTCACACTCCTTTGGATCCTTTTTCTTGATCTGACTGACATTTTTCCTTCCTTTCTCCTCCTTCAGGAACAGCATAGACTGCTCCTTAGTAACTCATTGAACTAATCAGAGGATGTAATACAACTGGCTGGGCAAGGGGTTTTTTAGTCCAGCAACGCGCGGCTGCTGCACGGTTTTTCACCTTTTCTGTATTTACCTATTACTGAGTTCCCGCATACCATCTACGCGTTCAGCGGTGTAGAAATAATAATTATCAGGAACTTATATATAGTTAAATTAATAATGGAAATCGATAAATACAAAAATATTGTAGTTTCCGAGTCTATAAAATTGAATAATAATTCTAGTAATAACTAATAGAAATATAATCTCAGTAATTAATCAAGTATCAAAGTAGATCAGTACAAACCCCATTTTGGGTTGGGTCCATGCCAACACAAGGACCACATGCTTGTATCAAACACTGGTATGAGTTTGCACATTCAACATCATGACAATGAATAAACCGAATATCCAATAAGTTAGGCGCTGGTGCAGATTGCTGGGGTTTCTCATCTAATTCTGACATAGAAACTTTACCATCATTGATATTTTGCGGGTACGATGCTAAATGCTTGTTTACAACTTCATTATTGCTGGTATGGATAAATTCACCTTCATTCTATATATATAAAAAAATATTAGCGCGTATTATTTTTATTATATTCGAAAATGCCGAAAAAATACAACAAATGTAAAAGCAATAAAAATTAGAACTTACTATTGCTAATACTTGCTGTATTAAGAAAATAATCTCAATATATAAAACAATAAGCTTCATAATAAACGAAAGAAGCAATTAATATAGATTTGATTATTATAGTTATTTCCAATAAGTACTGATGATTATATTAATATATTTTTAATGAAAATAATAATTTCATGACTATACCTTCAGAATATTAGTTGTTCAGTTCTATCTTTACATTTATATTTTTCAGTAGTAGGCGAACAGTGGAACTTCAAAGCATATTCAATAACTTTAAGATGCTATAGACTCTAAAGAAAACGCTATCTGGGGTTTAAGTTCCTCTATCCCTTCGTCTGGCCCCGCAATTAGCGACGTTTTTTACGTGTACATTAGTGTTGCAAAAACGCGGGTGGATCTAGAAGAGATAGGCTGTAACTATTGACATGTTTTTATATAGTTAATCTATGTAATCTGGTTATTTGATCTAGCCCTAATTAAGATATAGAATGGAACCTCCTGCCAACACTGGCACTTCATACAAAGGGGAATATTATTACATACAGTACAACCAGATCTTGTTCTTGAAGCTCTGTCCTTATTCCTCTCTGTTCTCTTTCTTTTGTACTGACATCAGGCACAAGTTTGAGTGGATGGCAGAGAAATTCAATTATGATTCAGATCCGGATGGATTGACATAGTTGATAAGTGAGTACCACTTTGTACCACCACATCAAAATTTGTATGTGATGCTACTTTATAAAACAAACACTACAAACATGAGAAAGTAACATCATATACAAATTTTGGTGTGGTGGTACAAAGTGGCTCGCTTGCCTTACATGTCTCTCTTGCTTATCGACTGCATTATGATAAGAAGGTTCCAAAATTGCAGAAGCAAAAATTATGAGAAGGTGGATCTGGTATCAACAAACCAGATTACATAGAATTTAATATAGAAATTATTGGTTGGTACTTCTGAACTAACAGCTTAGTTACTACACTAATTGAATTGTGCCTCGCGGCCAGACGAAGGGATAAATGGATTAAACTCCTAAGGTTCTCAACTCACCACCTCAATAGAGTGTGATTAATCAATACTTACTGCGGGGCCAGAGCTATACCCATGGTTCAGGCCCTCATTCTAGAATAACGATGTTCAATATCGCCAAGAATCAAACAAACCCACAGCCCCGATGTTGACTGATGACAGTTGTTAATGGTCAACCAAGCACATAAAAAGTATATCATATTGCGAACATTGGATCACCATACGATCGATACGGATACCACTACCGAGGGTTCAAATCATAATAAATCATAATATGGTTACTGCAACAGACCCGGAAATAGTTTTTCGCTTATCCGATTCCCAAGGGATAAAGTTAGAAAGGAGAGGAGGAAAAGTAAAGAGTCGAGGCTGGCATTTCCTGCTATATGCTCATGTATGTTTATAGGTATGCTGGTAGCCGAAAAGGAAAGAAAAAGGCCAAGAAAAAGCCAAACTACAAACAATATTAAAAAGATTGGTATGATGGAAATGTCGAGACCATGTCGAAGAGCAAAACAAAAGAGGAAAATTGGTCTCAAAACACGCAAAGAAGCGACAATAACAAACAATAACCCACAACGGTACCAAGACTCCAATGCGTACGGGGCATGGCGGTGGTGTGAAGGACCGCCCAAAGACACCACCACAACAGCCCAAGGAGTGAAACATGCCCAGTTCCCCAAGTAACAACAAGGTATACGAAATATACCTTAGGTATCATTATCCATGAAAAAATCGCAGCAAGAAAAGCGGTCATGAACAATCTCTGGTGCTCCAGCAGAGCTCAAATTTCCCTCCCGCTAACCCAAATGATCATAACTGTCGTTCCATCATGATCAAAGAAGCAAAATACCGCGGTATGATATTTGGAGCTGTATTCCGCACTTCAAAGGGACCAACATAGCGGAAAGTTGGGGAAGAAGTAATAGTACATTATTGACCCCAAAATTTTCGTTTCCCTCCCCCCCCCCCCCCCCTCCCCCGGTGCGGTCAGCTTCCCGCATGCCTAATCCCCTTCCCATCGCTTGATAACTTTTACGATGTCGGCCGCTGTCCATACACGAAGTGGAAAGTAGTCAAGAGATGGTTTTTGGGGTCGCGGAATTCCTTTCGTACTGCATTGCACAAGAGTTGGGTTTCGTCCATTTTCCAGCCCAGGATCCGAGTGAAGAGGGCCAGGCTGAATGATTCAATACAGTTGCACATGTGTTCCATCTGGAATGCGCCCATCTCCTTGAGTTTGGGATCTTTGGGCCATGTGCCCATTGGGACCTACGCGGAGGATCCATGTTAGTTTCCATGGAACAACAGAATAAAAAAGGAAATTAAAAAGGGAAGAAAGAAGAAAGAAGAAACATCAACCGATATGAGAAATGATACCTTGTATACATCATCCCGAACATCCTTGAAACCGGCGTCAATCAAATGCTGCTTCTGTTCGCGAGCAACATTCATGCGTTTTCCAAATTTTATACTCGCTTCGTCTATCAGGGCTAGCCAGCGGGCGGTATTGGGACACTTCTTAAGCGTGGGGTCATCATCGGAGGAAACCCACGCTTCATACTCTTGCATCTCGATCCAGCCGCCAGGCTTCAGGTGCTGGAGTGCACGGTTATACAGCATGTTCCAGTCCTTTATGCTCCCGCCCATCCCCCGCGCGTGGATAAAATCAAATGCCTCGTTTGGTGTATACACCCATTCGCTTTCAACATCATCGACATAAAACTTGCAATTAGGAGGCACCCAAGATGGTTGAATGGGGCTCAGATCATTGCCGATGACGGTGGCGGATTGGAACTCGTCAGCAAAGTCCATGGCCCATGCACCCGTTGCCGTCCCAAAATCCAGCACTCTCTTCGGCTTGGCGGTAATGGGTGCTCGGAAGAGGCGACCACCTAGTATGAGGCGGAAAATGTGGTGATGTAACTCGAGTCGTTCCTGTTCCGCCTCGTCATTTGGTAACATGTAAGAACCGTTCCTGTATCCATGATATCTTCTTCCATTTTCTTTCCCGAGATAGAAAAGGCATTAGCACGGACAGTCGATCCGGCAATAAGCACAGCTGCTACTAGTCTTTTGGGATGGGCGCCCACCGTATCTATATTCTAGGATTGAGGAGGAGAGCGAGGTTCCAAACGACGATCCGCCGCCAATGCTGTTGACTGAGTCGCCATCCGTGTCTGCGAAGTCTGTCTGCTTCTGTTATCAGTTCTATAAAAGTCTAAAGATGAAATAAATAAAACAAGAGAGAGAGAGAGCGAGAGAGAGAATCCAGGAACTTCGACAGGGAGTCCTACATCAATATCGATGACCCCAGGATTTGGTGCAGAGGGCTGCACGATTGTCTCAGTTTGGAGTGCCATTTTTGCCCGCTTCTCGAAAAACCAAGGAAGCAATAAGCAAAAACAAATTGCCAAGTGTAGGGGAAAAAAAGTAATCAAATAAAATATTTCGTGAGATTCTGTGTGTACCAGGAAATTGTGAAGAGATACTTGTTTTGGAGGCTTGCACAAACTTGGGAACCATCGTATATATGGGCACCAGAACATGCGGGAGAGCCAGACCTCCTCGCCCGACTCCTTGACAGGCCTTTCCTTGAGGAAGAGCACCGAATTGGCCAATCTTGCTTTAGCCGCTGAGTCCAGGCCGGGAATCAGCTTGATCATCCCGTCCGCTTACTGCATAAACCTTAGTGCGGCAGGCTTTCGATTGCTAACGTCGCGGAGATCGGGACGGCCATTCACGACCCCAGCAGCGAGTGGCCCTTATGCTGTCCCCGGACATGTGAGAGCGCACAACCATCCTTAGTGTTTCGCCGGGCCTTGCATTAACTTTGCCAATGAAAACTGCCCCCAATGTTCTGTATGGTAATATTTATGGCAGCTTCATACCGAGCGATTGACTGAACAAGCTTCCGGGGCTCAAGCACCGAGAATCAAAGCCAAACATATCAGGTCCAGGTAATGAACCTGCAACTGGATTATGCGGCATCCATTGTCCTATTCCAGCAGCTCCTTGGTCCCCTAGATACGGTTCATGAGGGTTTGTTCGCGGTAAACATACGCCGTACAAAAGTTAGATGCATTAAGCGCCACCAATCCCACAAGTTGGCACAATGAACTACTCCGATGTACAGCATTCCTCGAGAGTTCAGACTAAACTAAAATGGCGTCCAGACTGGAGTCCTTTGAGATTTCTCCTCGCCCAACTAACAGACAGCGGAGCGGGGGAAGGACGGCAGTAAAGTGGAGCAGCCGCAGCCAGAAAATCCCCACCACCAGGCCTCTCGCCAACAGCGTTTGCGAACGTTGTTGCTTCGGTCTCACTCCAGCGCCAAAGGCGCCATCCCCAAAGCGTCGCCGGAGGAGTCGCTGGTTGTTAGGCCAGCCATGACTCGTATACACACTCGCAGAGCCCGAAGTTGTTTTTCTTTTCATCGTTCAATTTTTTTTATTTTTGCCTCTGCACAGGTCGGGGAGCCAATAGCAGTCCCATACCACACGAGGCTCAAACAATCGACCTATGATTCTCTCTGACACTGACACTATCTTGTAGCATCGGGGTGAGCAGCTCTGAAGTTACATCCGCCCCAGTCACTCGAGAAGCCTGGTTGGTCTGGAATAACATTCCCATATGGCACCTCGCTTCAACTTCCGAGAGGCTGTAGAACTAGAGCGCTTTTGTACTAGGGCACGCCATTCCCTAGAGAGAGGCTGAGATTCCTCTCCTCCTTCTGCTGCTGCTGCTTGCTGCTGCTTTTTCTTCTTCATATTCGACTTCTGGTTTCCAAGGGCTCAGTGCTTCACAACTGTGGCGCATGAGCAACTCTGCCGGACGTGCTCACCACTCTGCTCTGCGTCTGGTTGCAGGGAATCTCGCGTTGAACCATTGGCCGAAATATGGGGAATTCGTGCCAAGGCCCATCCCAATCAAAGTCGTTTCTTCCAGCGTACGGAGGGCCTTGTTGTGATGATCATGAAGGTTGATGGAATTCAACACAACCGCTCAAGCTTTCATGCCCCGACGACGGAGCAGCGAATATGAATTCTCGCAGCGGAATTACTGTTGGCTTCCTCTGTCATGACTTGTGAGAGCACATAGACCCTCTGGACAACCGAACTTGCATGAATCTGGTAGACGCGAGCTTGGACTGCACATTTTCTCCCTGGAGAGCTCCGCAAACACTCACTGGATGTGGTAGTTCCGCGCTTCTCTTGGAACTACAATCAAACTTTTCTCCCCCAAGCTAACATGAAGATTAAGGCTAGTTGGAGAGTGAGGGTCTGAGACATGAAAATAAATAAAATAAAATATAATGTAAATATAAATAGATGTAGATATAGGACAAACTCCGGCGTAGTCTTGGTGAGGAAGCCGGTTGTTGTGCGTGGAATTACGCCGACAGTATTTTTTTTGCTCTTTTGCCCAACCAAAAAAAAAAAAAAAAAATTAACCGTAGCCTCAACTCCGAAAAGATACTTCCGTGAATAACTAATAAAAAATGATAGAATAAAAGCAAGAACAAGCCAATGTTGCATCTCCGGGAACCAAAAACATCTCGGCCAAACATCTCCAAACTTTGGCAACGTCAAACTCAATTGTTTCTGCAAAACGGCAAGTGAGCGAAGCGTTCGGGGGAAATTCACTCATTCTATCCAAGGAACTCTGGACTAAGTTAAGACATATACGCCTGAAGAGCCTCAGGACTTTGTTTTCTTCTTCCTATCCACAGGGTAATAATGGGCCATGGACGTATTTACAGCTCTGATTGACACCCTTCCGCGAATTCCTTCTCAACTTCCCACATCAGCCCTTGAAATGGAACTCCGGGAATCCGGTGAAAATATGACCGGGCCCCATGCCATCATTGGCGAGGTCAACTCACAGAGAAGTTTATGGCAGTATCCCATGTGCTTCTTCTAGTGAGTCTAAACCGTTGCCATAACTTTCAGGCTTCCTTTCGTTTTCTACGACATGGATCTCTTACCTACCTCTATCACTCATGGCAGCAACGCAATGGCGTCCGCGAGCCTTTTCATGGAACTCAATCGACATCTGTCATTATATATATATGGCTTTTATAAACATATTAGCCCGCTAGGAGGCAATCAGCCATGCGGGACCAACTGTCAAAATCGTGGGCAGCCTCATTCCAAACCGAACGACGACCAGGCCCTTATCAAGATAGTCGTATCCGGTTCAAGCCCGAAGGACTGGGAGATGCCAGAGTCGGTAGCGATGTCGTAGGAGTATGGCATGTCTGAGATGATTCAGAGGGCGAATAGAGGCGTCAACCAAAGGGATGATATTGTTGGGATTGACGAGGACGTTGGCGCAATTGTAGTGACATTCAAGTTATCGAATTGGGCCAGCATGAAAGCACGTAAGGAAAATAAATCAAGAAAAGGTAACTTGACCTACGCCTTCTTCCCCGGGTGGCAATGTCGCGCGCGAAATGTGCGTGCCTGGTGGCTCTTATGCCCGAATTTTGCAATTGAAGCACTTGGTGCCATACAACGTTCTAGCATACCTCATTTGAAGTTGAAAGGGAGAAGACATCATCCCCGTATATCCAATTGTCATGCCCCTGTTCCCGTTAATGGAAGTAATGTCGCTGGTATTAGCTCCATCGCACAACTCGACTCACAGAAGCCGCAACGATCTTCCTTCGCTGCATGGACCGCTTCCATACCTCTGTGCACACACCGTCATTTTCCATTCTCCTGGACCCTCCCGTGAGCCAATCCCATCAAGCATCTACGGCGCGAGCCGTGGGATCCTTCGCTATCAAGCTGGCATGCAATAGTAGCATCCGCCTCTATCCCATCATCGCAATTACCGGCAAGGGCCCTCCCATTACATGGAATCTCTTGTCCACCGGCGCAAAGGTGATACCGTCATCGACGACCGCAGCGCGCTGGAGACGACCATTCAAGGAATCTCAAGCAGCCTGCGGCAGGCAGGACACACTGGATTGCGTCGTCATTGAGAACAGCGCAGAAGTACTGAGGAAAAGAATTGGTGTTCAGTGGACAGATAAATTTCGCCTTGGCCAACGTTGATCAGCGCACGGCATGGCTAAGTTCGAGAAAAATGAAAGCCTGGGGATTGTGATGTGCTGCTATTTCATAAGGGGAGCTCTATGGACATCCGTACGAGAGGCACCTGAAGGACGGGAAGGTAAGCGCTAATAAGGATATTTTCCGAATCGCCGATACATGAGATTGTACAATTTCAATAGAGTTCATGTGGAAGAGAAGGAAAACAATTAATTAACCATATCTACTCGCGGAGCAATGCGGAGTTTGTCTATAAGTTCCAGTATCCAATGTTGATATATGTCCACTTCATATACGTACCATAGGATCTTATCAGATATGATTTTGGATTTTGCACTGCACGCTTAGTGCAAACGTATGACCTTCTCCTAATCTACTATCTGATGGTTTATTTATGGTTGGCAGAGAATAAAATAGATTTTTTTTTTCTAAAAAGAGCGCAGGAAATTCTCCATAATATATCTGTCATTTGCTCATATTTGTCCGCTTCGTTCTATTTAGTCTGAGTATCTGTGTAGGTAATTCCCCGGCACTGCACTGCAACTTTATGGTGCTATTTTATTCCCCTTCCGCTCTCCTTCCGCTCCCTGTCAACAGATAGAATTAACTAACAGATGGAACTTTTTTTACATACTTGTAATCCATGATGACTCTGTTCGGCCCTGTGCTGACAGATTTGGACAGTTTACGCCACCAACCACAATGCCTTTGCAAATCCTCCTCAAGCTCAAGTAGTAGCTAGAAAAGGAAAACTAATTAATTACCAGCGGCGAAATTAGCGTAACCGCCTTAGAGTTCATCCAACGGATAATAGAATCCTCGGAAGAACCCATCTTTGGAGTTTCTACAGGATTACTCACCCAGCAGGCCACACCCGGTGCCTTTGATAACCCCAGAGTTGCTGTGTCTGGTGATTCTCATGAAATCATTCTGAGAATTAAAAATACAAAATAAATAAATAAATTTAACACATCTTACGCGCGGGGCAACTCTTAGGGCCTTAGTAAGTTCTAATTTTTCATGATGTCAACAATAGGTTTTAAATCGTCCTGGCGTCTGTTGGATTGGATCATGGGCCTTAAGCAGGCCGATTCTTCGGGTCTTCCCCAGACACGCGCCTGTACTCAAACTGATATGGAGATCTCCCCCTTATTGGCGCCAGCCGGTCTGCCGTTTGTGTTTCGCATGAGAACGCTTCGATGTGTGGGTTGTGCCGCAGCCCGTCGATCATTCTCGACCAACCATTCTCAATCCAGGACGCCTACACTCAACACCTAAGAACAACTAGGGTTTCGCCCCAACGCCCCATTGTAATATTAGTGCAAATGGACGCGTAGGGTTCTGCATTTCTTGATTGTCATTGGGCAGAGTTAGAAGGCCAGGCCCGTTCTTCAAACGTGATAAATCTTGAATCCTGGGGCCGAGGGAGGGAAAGAAAGGGGAACCAGCCAGCGCCCAAGGTTCCGCTACAAGGTTTATGGGCGCCTTGCTTGGGGCTTTGGGGGAAGAAAACGTTTGCTGTAAATTTATAGCAGTGTGGAGAAGTTTAGGTGGGCGGTAAGTTAGATCGAGCTGAGGTCAGTTGTTGGCTACTATGAATTGTTATTGACGATTTGTTTGCCAGCAGTGAACCTTGTTGATATGAAGTCTGTGCGGTCTTTGAAATCGGGCCCTATGAATCGAAGGCCAGAATCAAGCGGAGGAAGCCAGGGGAGGGACAAGGGCCAGCAGCAACTGTAACAGAGAGCAGCGATGATTAGGGAGTAGCTGATGCTACTCCCAGGTGAAACGCCGCCGGGTACAGGCTCGAGACGCTGGCAGCCAAATATCGCGTGGTGACTGCTGGTGTCTGCGACGAAAATAACAATAAGAATAATATCGATCCTCAGAGCGCATTTTGCTCGACAACCACTACCCAACGGGCGCTAACTATTAATATTTACGAGCGTCAACCCCCCATTCAAGAGATCTAAATATATAAATATTTATATACATATAAACTTAGAATCACCATGAATGGAGTGTGAGTGAAGGTTGTTACCATCATCACCTGACTTTTCCCGGACGTTACCTCTAGGTATTCCAGACTCCTTCATCATTTACTTGCCAACAAACAAACGTTCCGTCTTCTCTCCAGGCACAGTGATACTCACTGTCTCAGAACTGCGACTCATTGCTGGATGTCTAACTGTTTTTGTTGTCCTTGTCTCTCTCTCTTCCCCTCTCTCTCCGTGTTTCTCTCACAGTATCTCTGTGTTGCTAAATCGCCCTTTTTACTTTCGTAACTCTCTCATCGTTCATATTTCATTGTATTCTTATCACATCAAACCCCTCCCCCTGGCTCCCACCTTGGGCATCTGAAACAACAAAGCATTTGAGACGCCAACATATCGATCCTGGATCTTTCTTGATTTAAACTAGGCTCCAGGCCGCCTCTTCGCATTATCTATTCCTATCTTACTACCTTACTGCTTTACAGATATCTACGGTCCAGACCAGAAATTGGACAAACGGGCCCCTCCACCCCTCTCAAACCCATCCTATAGCCGCAAATTGCGTTTTCACGATGAACGTCAACAAGAAAATCGGCCGCTTTAAGCAGTGGGCGGGAGAGCGCATGGGGTCAGAGTCAAAAACTACTCTCTCAGATGACTTCAAGGCGTTGGAGGTAGAGATGAACTTGAGACATGAAGGTGAGATATAGGTGGCTAAAATCCAGCAATTGGACTGTATGTAGCTAACTACTATAATTTTCGGCAGGAATGGAGAAACTCCAGAAATCAATGACAACTTATGTGAAAGCGCTGTCCAAGCGGAATGAGGGAGATGACAAGGAGAAGACTCTACCAATTGGTTATATGGGCTCAACTATGGTAAACCACGGGGAAGACTTTGAAAATGCCTCTGAATTCGGACAGTGTCTTATCAGTTAGTGGAATCCCCCGGTCTTTCTTGTTAACATGGGGTTGCTGATTCCCGTTTTCTAGGCTTTGGGCGGACAAACGAACGCATTGCGAGAATCCAGGAGACCTATATCGCGAATGCGACTAGCAGCTGGCTGGAGTCGCTCGAACGCTCACTTGTTCAGATGAAAGAGTACCAGGTATGGTGATTATTGCATGAAAATGAATGTGGTGTATTGAGAAGAGCTTCCTGACAAATATACTCTTTAGAATGCGAGAAAGAAATTGGAAACCCGTCGAATTGCGTACGATGCTTCCCTGACCAAGATGCAAAAAGCGAAGCGGGAGGACTTCAGGGCGGAAGAAGAACTTCGGAATCAAAAAGCAAAATACGAGGAGTCCACCGAGGACGTCTATAGGCGGATGGAGGATATCAAAGAGGCTGAAGCAGACAGCATTGCCGACCTTGGTGCATTCTTGGACGCTGAACTCAAATACTACGATCAATGTCGGGAAGTTCTTTTGCAACTAAAAAACAATTGGCCGGCTGGGTGAGTTCTAAAAAACTGAAGAAGAATAAGAATAACAGAGCTCCCTTGCGACACTAAACTCTGAAAGCTAACTTGCCCAATACAGCCAGACACAGTCTCAAGGTGGTGCATCTAGACGGCCTGGGCGAAATCAGTCAAACACAGCACATGCATACCACGATCGATACGAAAATACGCAAGAAGGATATCCTGTCCCCTCGCCAGAGCCACGCCCAGCCATTAAATCCAACCGAGCAGCCTCCACGCATCAAAATGGATCCCCACCAAGGGGTTACTCTCCTGAATCGTCCTACCGGCACCGACCGAGCATGAGCCGGAACCTAACCTTCGAAGGGCCCTCCCAACTCCGATCCGGAGAGTCACCAGCCTTAACGCAGCGCTTGAGTCGCACAACAAGCGACAACACTACGATACGCAATGGTAATAACCAACAGAGCCAATTGCAAGTTCGAACCGTCAACAGACCTTACGACAACTACCCGGAGTCCCCGGACGACTCCTATGGCAAAGACAGCAGCAGCAGCCCAGATCGGTACTTTACTGGAGGCCGCTCCATCTCGCCGGCAACGTCACATGGCAGCTACCTATCCCAGCCTGCAAGTATGACCGGCTTTCATCAAGCCGCCGGAAGTTCGACTAGCAAGAAGCCCCCACCCCCTCCTCCTCCCTCGCGGGCTAAGAAGCCGCCGCCGCCGCCGCCCCCAGGAAAAAAGACTTCTTGGTGATGCGGCTACCCATATGTGACTGATTGATTTTTCTGCCTTCTTTCCTTCTCTCTTCCTTGCTTGTAATTTCAAAACACAGAAATGGTAAATGATGTTTTAAATTTCTCCTTTCCGCTGGCCTTCGCTGGATAAGGTTAGCGGTTGAAGACGATGGAATTTGACCCTCCCTTTGATTCTTGAGCTGATCGGTTAGTTGACCGGACTTTCTTCCTTCCTTTCTTTTTCTTCAAAACAAAGGGACTTTTTCCTGTGATTTTTATTTCCTTTAGCCCTCCAGGAGTTTCGTGTATTTTCCCGGTCTTCTTTCCCCCTTCTTTTCGTGTACTTGGGCCCCTGGTGCCAGTATTGGTTGGTTAATACGGGGGGTATGGTACAGGTCTACAGGACATAAAATTCTCCACATGTTCTGTCTGGCACGGATATTGTTGGTATTTTTATTGTTAATGTCGTTTTTATTGTTAGTTATCATTCGAGACTTCTTGGCTTCTTTTGCCTGCTTTTGCTTCAAACGCCCTCCTCACCTTTCCTGCGATATAAAAGTCTAACTTGTCTAGATAGATATTTTTATACATTCCTCCTCCCTGTTTCGTCTTTCTTTCCTTCCTTGTATTCTTTTCTGGTTGTGGAGGGTGTTTGAGGTTTTAGGTTTTCTGTTGCCATTTTTTGGCCAGCAACCACTTTCCTAGATCCTTCAGCCTTTCGTTAGTAATAATAAAAAACAAACTGTCTTCTAATTTCTCTCCTCTTGAGCAATAAAAACGAATTAGTTAGAATTACATATTTAAAAATGGAGAAGGAACAGCAGGGCAGGCTAACGAGTTCCCCCCTGGGAATCATACTACATCACTGATCATTTAGTAAATTGGGTTTAAGTAGACTCATTTATCCATCCTAAGAACGGTTTGCCCATTTTGCTTCCTCTCACATATATTTGGTGGCCACACCGGGATAGAAAGAACTTTGTGCCGAGCATTCATTTTCAGGCAAGTGGAAACCTGAGACTTGTTGTCTTTCATGCGCCATGTGAATGCGGGTAATCATGAGAATAGATGGAGAAGGGATGTATTAGGTACAGACTGCCTATATCAGGGCATCTGAGCACCAGCCTTATTCCCCAATTGACTGGGAGAAATGCTGTCAAAACTAGGCCAAATAGTCAAGATGATGAGCTAGCATAGCAGCCACGAGTATGAAACCAGCAGACAGTGACGGGCAAATAGTTAACAGCAGCAGCATGTTCTTCCCTCTCTCCATCACATATACGTGGAAGGTGGAGGTGTGCCTGCTGACTCATCCGCGCCACCACGCTGACTCATCGCTCACGTGCCCCCGCCCGTCATCCTGGCCTCTCTCGCTCCCTCTCCGTATTTTCTCAGTCCTCCCAAGACGACGAACACCACCGCCTCGCATCCCATCCCCATCGCCATCCCTTCCATCGGCGGCCCCAACGCGCCCGCCCCAACGCGCCCAGCCCCGTTCACCCCCCCGTGGGACTGTCCCCTCCCAAAGAGCCCGTTGTCCGTCGCCTTCCATCTTCCTTTCGCTGTTCTGGTCTATTTTTTTTGGCCATTTTCGCCTCGTGTCAGCCGGTTCTTGCTCCATCCTAAACGCATCAAAATCCCATCCGCCAAGCATCAACAGGGCTCCCCCATTCGTCCCGCTCCGCTCCCTAGTCCCTCCTTCTTCACTCCACTGGCTCCTCTCCCGCCTTTTGTCTGTCGCTACAACTTTGCGACTCTCGGTTTCCAACTTTCCAGCCATTCCCATTCTTCCCAGGCCAAGGCTGGAATTACGCCCTGCCTGTAGGAGGCCAGCTCCTGTTCATGTACTCTCTATAATCCCCCGGACACGATGGCTTCCATTCAGGGTGCCCCCAATATGGCCACTGCAAATCTTAGCTTGCCGTCCAACTTAACACAGCAACACGTGCAGGAGGTCTATCAGGTTCGTTGTCGCTACCCTCCTTCGCGCTCCGTTTGTTTGTACAGGTTCACGTATAATTCCATGTGTCGCAAAAATACCTTTGTTCCCCCTCATATACTATACGCCTAAGCTAACATACCCGTGAAGAAATTTCGCCAGATGCAAGAACAAGGTGTGCGCCATGATGATCCAGAATATATCAAAGCCCACGGGCTCCTTTCTGCCGTCCAAAGACAGCAAGCCTTCCAAAAACAACGTCAATTAGCGCAACAACAGCAGCAGCTTCAGAACCAACGACTACAACTCGCACAACAACAGCAGCAACAACAACAGCAACAGTCGCAGCCGCAATCGCAGTCGCAACAACCCAATGGTATTCCCAACGATAACCTGGCTAATGGTGTTGATGGTATGAATTATCTAGTTGGCTCGTCGCATTTCACACCGAACGTGGGACTTTTACTTACTAGTTTTGTTTTTTTGCATTGATTAGGCCGAAACGGATCAGTGGGCCCCATGTCGAGCGGTACCAGTCAGGATCCCACTACAACCGCTGCGCCTGGGCAACAGTCGATCTCTGCAACTCAGCAACAAGGGAACGCTGCCACCTCGAAACCTGCACCTTCGACTGGAGGCGCGTTCTCGCCAGAACAACTGACTACATTGAGAAATCAGATTCTTGCGTTCAAAATGCTTTCCAAAAACCTTGCCATACCGCCGCGGGTTCAACAGCAGCTTTTCGCGAAGAAAACAAACCTGGTAGCTACTGATGGTGTTGCGCCTCCAGACAATGTTGACAATATAGCGCAATCCCAAGGAAGTCAACCTATTGAGCTCAATGAGAATGCCAATAAATCGAGGACAATGCACGAAACGTTCGAGTCGCCATACAAGGCTCTTGCTGAAACCATCAACTACGATGATCATTCTTTCCGGAGGCATAGGCGGAGAATCCCCAGCATCATGCCAATGGGTATTGATATCGAGAAGCTGAGGGAGGACCAAGAAACTACCTTGTACAATTTAATAACCGCCCGAAAAGCTGAATTGGGGAAACTACCCGCAAACCTAGGGGTTTGGAACACGGACAAGAGTGATGCTCCTGATGGAGATGATTCTCTCAAACTCCAGGCTTTAATTGAGTACAAAATGCTAAATCTATTGCCGAAGCAGAGACTTTTCCGCAAGCAGATCCAAACCGAGATGTTCCACTTCGATAACCTGGCCATGTCAGCCAATCGGGCTGGTCATCGTCGCATGAAGAAGCAGTCTCTACGGGAGGCTAGAGTTACAGAGAAACTTGAGAAGCAACAACGAGATGCGCGAGAATTGAGGGAGAGAACGAAGCAATCTGAACAACTTCAAGCTATCCTCAATCATGGTCGTGAGGTCCAACTTGCGGCAAGCCAGCAACGCGCACGGATGCAAAAACTCGGACGCCTCATGCTCAAACATCATCAGGATATGGAGCGTGATGAACAGAAGCGTGTGGAACGAACAGCCAAACAACGTCTGCAAGCGTTGAAAGCCAATGATGAAGAGACGTATATGAAACTGCTTGGCCAAGCTAAAGATTCTCGGATTTCTCACCTACTTAAACAAACCGACGGCTTCCTCCGGCAACTGGCTGCTTCCGTCAAGGAACAACAGAAAAGCACGGCGCAAAAATATGGCGAGGAAGACCGATTTGATGACGATGAGTCAGATTTCGATGACGATGATGACGAAGTAGAAGAGGGTGGAAGGAAAGTTGATTATTATGCTGTTGCTCATCGCATCAAAGAAGAGGTCTCAGTACAGCCAAGTATCCTTGTCGGAGGGACTCTCAAAGAATATCAGATCAAGGGTCTCCAGTGGATGATATCTCTTTATAACAACAACCTTAACGGTATCTTAGCGGACGAGATGGGTCTCGGAAAGACCATCCAAACGATAAGTTTGATCACTTACCTGATTGAAAAGAAAAAGCAAAATGGACCGTTTTTGGTTATTGTTCCACTCAGCACGCTTACCAATTGGAATATTGAGTTTGAGAAGTGGGCGCCATCCGTGACTCGTATCGTATATAAGGGGCCTCCAACGACACGAAAACAGCAGCAGCAAGCGATCCGGTGGGGTAATTTCCAGGTTCTCTTGACAACTTATGAGTACATCATCAAAGACAGACCTGTCCTAAGCAAGGTTAAGTGGGTTCACATGATTGTTGATGAAGGTCATCGTATGAAAAATGCCGGTTCGAAGTTGAGCTGTACTTTGACACAATATTACACTACTCGCTATCGTCTAATTTTGACGGGTACCCCATTGCAAAACAACCTTCCTGAACTTTGGAATCTTCTAAATTTCGTTCTGCCGAACATCTTCAAGTCCGTCAAATCCTTTGATGAATGGTTCAACACTCCTTTTGCCAATACTGGAGGACAAGACCGCATGGATTTGACTGAAGAAGAGCAGTTGCTCGTTATCCGGCGACTGCACAAGGTTCTTCGTCCATTCCTATTGAGACGTCTAAAGAAGGACGTGGAGAAGGATCTCCCGGAGAAAACGGAACGAGTGATAAAATGCCGATTCTCTGCATTACAAGCCAAACTGTATAAGCAACTCGCTACACACAATAAACTGATCGTTAGCGATGGGAAAGGTGGCAAGACAGGTGTGCGCGGATTGAGTAACATGCTGATGCAGCTGCGGAAACTCTGTAACCACCCTTTCGTCTTTGAATCTGTTGAGGACGAAATGAACCCTGGAAGAGCTACAAATGACTTGATATGGCGGACGGCTGGTAAATTCGAACTGCTGGACAGGATCTTACCCAAATTCCAAGCGTCGGGACATCGCGTTTTGATGTTCTTCCAAATGACGCAAATTATGAATATTATGGAAGATTTCTTAAGGCTTCGGGGCATGAAGTATCTTCGTCTTGACGGCTCAACCAAGTCCGACGACCGATCAGACCTATTGAAGGAATTCAATGCTCCTGGTTCAGATTACTTTTGTTTCCTTCTTTCCACTCGTGCCGGTGGTCTTGGTTTAAATCTGCAAACTGCAGACACAGTTATTATCTACGACTCTGATTGGAACCCTCACCAGGATTTACAGGCGCAAGATCGAGCCCATCGTATCGGCCAGAAGAACGAGGTCCGAATTCTCCGACTTATCACCTCCAATTCCGTTGAAGAGCGAATTCTCGAGGCGGCCCAATTTAAACTGGACATGGATGGGAAAGTCATCCAGGCAGGAAAATTCGACAACAAATCCACAAACGAGGAACGTGATGCATTGTTACGTACTCTTTTGGAGAGCGCCGAAACCGCTGATCAAATTGGCGATCAGGATGAGATGGATGATGACGACCTTAATGATATCATGGCCCGATCCGAGGAAGAAATACTCCTGTTCCAGAAAATTGATCAGGAACGCTCCAAAAACGACCTTTATGGTCCTGGACGCAAATATCCCCGTCTGATGGCTGAGGAGGAATTGCCTGATATCTATCTGGCGGAAGATAACCCGGCCCCTGAAGAGGTGGAAGAGTTTGCTGGCCGTGGCGCACGTGAAAGGAAGGTCATGAAATATGATGATGGGCTAACAGAAGAACAATGGCTCATGGCCGTGGATGCGGATGATGACACTATCGAAGATGCGATTGCCAGAAACGAAGCCAAGTTGGACCGAAGACGGCAAAACAAAGAGAAACGGGCGAAGAAAGCCCAAGGCGTCGCCGACTCATCCCCAGAACCATCCAGGGAAAACTCGGAAGCTCCCCAGCAGCCGAAGAAGCGTCGAAAGGGTCCCGTACCGAAGCGAAAAGCGGAGGAAGTTATCGATGAAACCCCCGTCAAACGAAAGAAGGGTCGACTCAGTAAAGCCGCCATGGCCGCAGCGGACACCCTGGCTCCATCCGAGCGCGCCGTCCTCCAGAAGATTCTCAACAATGTCTACCAAAGCCTCATGGAGCTCGAACAAGAGATCCCTGCTGATTCATCAGATAGTGAAGATGAACCCATAACCAGATCCATTATCGAGCCCTTCATGAAGCCGCCTCCCAAAAGTCATTACCCCGATTACTACATGGTCATCCAAACGCCTATAGCGATGGATATGATTCGGAAGAAGATTAATCGGGAGGAGTATCGCAGTTTGAAGGAGTTTCGGGAAGATATCCGGCTGCTGTGCAATAATGCGCGCACATATAATGAAGATGGCAGCGTTCTTTTCCAGGATGCTAATGATATTGAGGTAAGTCGTTTGCTGATCACGATAATGCGTCGATAACGAGGCTTTACCCCCTTCTATTACCATTATGTTTTGAAGCGTCTTTTTGACTAACCTAATCTCCCCTTCCCTTTTTCTTCTATTTAATTAGGCCCTATGCGTCTCCGAACTCAAGAAGGAAACTGAGAATCGTCCCGAATTCGCCGATTTCGAGGAAACGGCTGCGTCTTCCGCTGCGGTATCTAGTGTCGGGACCCCGCTTGCTTCTACTGTGTTAACATCAACACCTGGTGGACAGCAGCAGCAGCAACATCATCAGAAACTCAAGTTGACATTCAGTGGTTCCAAAGATGGTAATAATAATAATGACAGCGGCGGGCCGTTAACAAATGGGACAAATAGCGGGGTTGTAAGTGATAATGAATAAAGCAGAGGAATGGAAAAGACAATGAAAAAGGGGATAAAAAAGTTTGAAGAAGAACAAAAAAGAAGAGAAGGAAAAGGAGGGGTGAAGGTGGTGAGGGAGAGTGAGAGAGAGAGAAGCAGCAATAATGAAATGAACTGCTAATTTCCTCCTTATTTTTTGGTCTTCCTCCTTTTTCTTTTATGGGTTGTGTTTTTATATTGGGTTATTTTCCCCTCTTCTTCTTTTCGTTTTATTCATCCCTTGTATGTGTGTTGTGTGTGTGTGTATGTGTGTGTGTGTGTGTCCATTGCGCCTTTGTTTATTGCGGTTCGGAATCTGGCGAGGAAAAATTGCGTGGCATATATTCATATATTTGTGTGTTTTTTTTGACTTTTTAGAGCTCTGGTATTCTTATTTAACTTCTTTTTATGTTTGTTTTATGAAATCTTTTTTTTTCTTATTTATTTTTCACTTTTGTTTCAAGCTTGTTTTCTTCCTTGCTTGATATGCTAGGTAGGTCAGGCATATATATTAACTTAGTATTGGCATTTATCAGATCTTACACAGTGTAGAGTGTATACTGGTTCCCTTATTGTTGCTTTATATCTATGTGAGTAGTAGTAATAGTAGTTAAATTTTCTCTTCTAAAGAAAAAAAAGAAAACCAGAAAATCGTCGTTCTCTGGATTACAGACCAAACAGCCCTTTTCTACATATCCAGGCTCAAGCATGCTTTCCTCACGGGGGACGGCTACATATAGCTGGCTGACTTCCACCCTTGCGACCACTTACTTGCACTTCTTGCTACAGGCCATCTATATTCGCTTACATGGTATGTTGATTCATATAGCACCTTGTACTCAATCAATCCACTTCGTCAATCTAGCAACCCAGAGAGTTGTGCTGCAAAGTGCGAATATACATACATGTGAGGGTTACATCTCAATGTTATGACCGGATGGTTCTTCAGTGCTAGTGGAGTCAACACTTACTTTTTTTACACAGTTGCATCATTCAACATGGAAAGCATTGTATCCTACGAAGTCGAGCTATGACTTCGCTTCGAGCAGTGGAACCTGGGGTAATTCATCATTACCCAACCCACTTAATAATCCCTTAACCATCGAATTCAAGATCTGGGAGAGTCAGGACTCTGGAACTATCTCCCGAGGATGGCAAATGGGGCTCGGATTCTCGTCAAATGTCAAAGGAAAGTTATTCACAAATGCATATGCATATGTGTATGATCAAATGCGTGAGGTGGAAGGGAGATTTTGAAGTTGAACGTGTATCCAATTTTCAGCTGATCTGTATATATTATATTATATTATATAACAGAAAGCAATCTGCTGTAACTTGCTGAACCCTTTGGTCCACACTGGTGTGGACATTCATTCCGGGCTTGATTGATGAAGAACGAATTTGAATATAGGAATATAGTCAGGTTAAGGAAATTTCAATGTGTAGTCCACAAGGGCGGAGGAAATGATTGAGCCGGTGTATTATTATTGTATCTTGTATCTAACTTTGCGCCTGCAAAAGAGAATGACGTTCCCATGTCCATGATAGAGTGTCAGGAAAACAATCACTCGCCTCCTTCGACTTGGCATTGGTCACGATTGACAGTGGTGGTAAAAGGCTAAAAACGGAAATCCTAGGTGCATATGGAAAAAGGAAAGAAAAATAAGGAAGGAAAAGGAACTATGATATAATCACATGAATTGAATGAAAAAGGTATTATAAAACAAAGAAGACAAAAGAAACGGGTTCAGAAGTCTGAGAACACCACAATAGTGTAGATTTTTAAACGAGCTTTTATACAAGATCCCTCCTCACAAACTCTGCAAGGAGAGTCTTTCCCAACGCAGCCGGGCTGCGCTCCACAATCACGCCAGCAGACTCAAGCGCGGAGATCTTGGAATCAGCGCCGCCTTTGCCACCACTCACGATGGCACCCGCATGTCCCATCCGTCGTCCGGGTGGCGCGCTGATGCCAGCAATGAACCCAACAGCAGGTTTATTCTTTTTATTCTCTTGCTTGAGGAACTCTGCCGCGTCTTCTTCGGCGCTGCCTCCGATCTCGCCGATCATGATAATACCATCTGTTTCCTCATCATTAAGGAAGACTTTGAGGCAGTCGATGAAGTTGGTGCCAGAGAAAGGATCACCACCGATTCCGACGACGAGGGACTGGCCGAGGCCCGCTTGCGTGGTCTGGTTGACAGCTTCATAGGTAAGGGTGCCGGAGCGGGAGACAATGCCGATGCGACCCCGCTTATGGATGAAGCCTGGCATGATGCCGATTTTACATTGGCCCTGATTTATGATGTTGGTGAATAAATATAAGGCTTTTTTTTCAACCCACTCTCATTTAAATCATGTATTGAGCCTGGTAGACGGGCAGGGTGGAGTGGACATACTGGGGCGATTATCCCGGGGCAATTGGGGCCGACTAATCTTGTCTTGTTCTGCGTTTTTAGGATATCGGTGATGCGGACCATATCTATGACAGTATTTAGCAATTTCCAATATCAAAAAAGCCTAGTTACCTGGACAACATACCATGTTGTGGAATACCTTCCGTGATGCTGAGAAATTGTTTATTAAGTGCTGTTTATTTCAACTACTGATGGAGAGCCGTATGGGGAACGAACCAAACAACAAGAGGAACTTCGGATTCAATTGCCTCTTCGATACTCTTGGCAGCTAATGGAGGACTAGATGGAAAGTTAGTCATCCAGTTTTCAATGGATATATAATATAGTGGAGGCATTCTGCCAATATGGATAGCACATACGGGACAAAGATGGCAGATGCGGTTGCGCCAGTTTCTTTCACAGCATCCCTCACCGTGGCGAACACTGGCTTTCCAAGATGCGTTTGTCCGGCCTTTTTAGGATTTGTTCCGCCGACCACATTTGTTCCTAAGAGATGTCAGCTGGGAATGTTCCGATAATTTATGATGGTGACATCGGGATCGGGACCATAGTCAATAGCTTGCTGGGCGTGGAATCTATTGACAAGGCAACATTAGCATCACACTATACGACGACGAAGAACCAGTTTTATTGGACTCACGTTCCCTGTTTCCCAGTAAACCCTTGGTAGATGACTTTTGTATCGCTGTTGATCCGAAGGTTGTCCGCCGTGGCTGCGTATCCAACAGTCGAGGTTATGAGCCCACGGCGCTGGCAAAGGACAGCATTGCGCAACGCAGAGGCGGTATTACGCCTGAAAACTTGCATGGTGTAGTAATGGGAAACGGAGAGGAAAAGGAGGCACGCAGGAGAAGGGGAGTAAAGAGGACGACGGGTTGGACTGGAGAGGTTACTTTTCTCTCTGCGGCATTGGCCCGACGTTGTTTTTGATTCTTGGGCGTGGCGCTAGACCTCCCCGGTGCGGGCAATATTTAACTAAACATATTTTCTTTTTTGTCCGCATTTTGTATCTAGCTAGATAAATGACTTCGTTTCTTCTCCACCTCAACAGCCGGATAATACTGGGGACTCCTGTATTTGGGCCTCCTCTGATATTCTCCCGATTGCAGAAGCTGTAAAATAAATTCTAGCCCCATCATGGCAACGGAGACCTTGACTGCGCTGCCCGCCACGCAGCTGCACAAACCCCAGAAACACGCAAAGCTTCCCCCCGAGAATGAACGGTATATGAGAGCCTGTTCTGATATTGCAAACGCGCTTATCCAAGAATTTGAGTCCCAGCGAGACCCCACGAGGCCTAAGAAGGATGTCAATCTCAATAAGCTGCGGGGTCAAATATCGAAAAAGCACCGGCTGAGCACCCAGCCTCCGCTGACAGCCATTATCTCTGCTGTCCCAGAGCATTATAAGAAATACATTCTCCCAAAGTTGATTGCGAAACCGATAAGTATGTGTAGTTGAGATAATGCCTCTTTGAGCCCCGGTCGTTTTTACTGATAGAAGCTGCATAGGAACATCGTCTGGAATCGCCGTCGTGGCTGTAATGTGCAAGCCACACCGGTGTCCCCATATCGCCTATACTGGAAACATCTGCGTCTACTGTCCTGGTGGCCCCGACTCTGATTTCGAATATTCTACGCAGTCGTATACCGGATACGAACCAACATCCATGCGCGCTATCAGAGCTCGATATGATCCCTTCGAGCAAGCGCGGGGTAGAGTCGAACAAATCAAATCACTGGGACACAGCGTGGATAAAGTGGAATATATTATCATGGGGGGAACTTTCATGTCGCTTCCGGAAGATTATCGAGACGAATTTATATCGCAACTACACAATGCGCTCAGCGGTTATCAGACCAAAAATGTAGACGAGGCCGTCCAGGCCGGGGAAATGAGTAATATTAAATGTGTCGGAATCACCATCGAGACGCGGCCAGATTACTGCCTAGATACGCACCTAAGCAGCATGCTCCGATATGGCTGCACGCGGCTCGAGATCGGCGTGCAGAGTCTCTACGAAGACGTCGCCCGCGACACCAACAGAGGCCACACCGTTAAAGCCGTAGCCGAAACATTCAAGCTATCCAAAGACGCCGGCTTCAAGGTCATCAGCCACATGATGCCAGACCTTCCTAATGTTGGCATGGAGCGCGATCTCGACCAGTTCCGTGAATACTTTGAGAACCCGGATTTCCGCACTGATGGCCTGAAGATCTACCCAACTCTCGTAATCCGCGGCACAGGATTATACGAACTTTGGCGCACAGGCCGCTACAAAAACTACACCCCAAACGCCCTCATCGACATTGTCGCCCGTATCCTCGCACTCGTTCCACCCTGGACTAGAATCTACCGCGTGCAGCGTGACATTCCCATGCCCCTGGTCACCTCGGGCGTGGAAAACGGTAACCTCCGCGAGCTCGCACTGAGCCGCATGAAGGATTTCGGAACCACATGTCGCGACGTGCGCACGCGCGAGGTGGGCATCAACGAAGTGAAGAACAAAATCCGCCCGTCGCAGGTTGAGCTCGTGCGACGCGATTACACAGCCAATGGCGGGTGGGAAACGTTCTTGGCCTATGAAGACCCCAAACAAGATATCCTCATTGGCCTATTGCGGCTGCGCAAGTGCAGTAAAACACATACCTTCCGACCAGAGCTGACAGGCCAGCAGACTAGCCTTGTGCGTGAGTTGCATGTGTACGGTTCTGCGGTGCCGCTTCATGGTCGAGACCCACGCAAGTTCCAGCATAGAGGATTCGGCACACTGTTGATGGAAGAGGCGGAAAGGATTGCCAGGGAGGAGCATGGGAGTCGGAAGATTAGTGTCATTTCGGGCGTTGGTGTTCGGAGCTATTATGCCAGACTCGGGTACTGGCTTGATGGGCCGTATATGAGCAAGATGCTGGATCCAGTGGAGCGGCATGACTTTGAGGGTGAGGAAGAGTGATGGAAAGAAAAAAAAAAAAGGGAAGAAAAAAGAAAAAAGAAAGCAAGATTGCTGGTTTGCAATTGCATCTCCTTGCGTTTCAGACTATTTCATGATGGCATTTTTTCTTAGGTCAGGATTGGTTATCGGATTGGCGTTCGGGGGAAAATTACAAGGAACTTCACGCAGCACATTTTACTGTAAACTCTATCATTCAATTACATCTCATGAAGCATACATGCCAGCTTATTACGCCCCAAGTCCGTTGCGAAAATCCACTATATTCCCACTACACAGCTAGCCAAGCAAAGCTACCCAATAAAAATAGCATATACATATGTAAATATGATAAAAGCAGAGTAAAGGTACACATACAGATCCCTCAACGAATAGCTCCTAAAAGAAGGCTGGCCCTGTGCGAAAGCAGAGGTACAGCGACGGGGATTCTTGATAGCAAGCGGCAGCCAGAAGTTGTAGAACGTAGACACATTCCCCCTGCAGCGTTACTTCTTGTATTCCTACTCGGGCAATTCCCAGCGCCATTATATATCGTTCAGCAGTTCTTCTATATTCTCGTTTCCGGTTTACCACCTGATGCCGCCGCAGGTCATGGCAAAGGTGGAGAATGTCCGGCACGTACGATCCAGTTTTGGATTTTATTTGGTATGTGTAGCTATCATCAATCAATCGCTCAAATCACGATATGCATCGCCCAGCCCAGCCAAGCATGCAAGATATATGTCCAAATATTGCAAAGCAACAAAACGGGACAAGGAAAACAAACAAGCCACCCTCTCGCAAGTCTCTATCTCGATCCTCGCACCAGTTACCCTCTGAAGAGAATATCCTGTTATTAGGTTGAAATTAATATAAATAACGAAAGGTGCATTTCTTTAGTTCAACGATATTGCCCCTCTTCGACTCGATCGGACGTGTAGGAAAGCTTGTATGCCGCAGAATACCATGAAGAACTATATTAAGAGGAAAGAACTCAGGGTTAGTAACCAAACAGTGCCTCAAGTTAACGTGCCGCAAAACGGCCTCTCGAGAAACGGAGGCTAGGACATGTGGATACGTACTGCGTATACGATGGCGGCTGTGAATATCGACGCTGCAACAGCTGGTCCGTTCTCGGGGTCGTCGATGGAACCAGTGAGGGAATGGTGATTGCTCTGTAAAGAGGGTGTCAGTCAGCTATTGTCTCCCTAGCTCTTAAAATATCTCTTCGTTATGATGGGTAAAAAGCTTGATGCAACTGTCTACCCTCCTGCGCGTTTTGATAACATTTGGATTCCAAATACTAGGTCAGATGTTTTGACGTACTTTGAATAGAGAGCCGAGGACTGATAGGATGATCACGGCGAAGATGGAAATGACAAAGCTGTGGCGAAAAGACTCCCGTCAGTTGTGGGTATTCTAGTAGATATGGACCTCCTAAAGAGTCTGTAGTTACTAAGGTTACTCTTACCAGCTCCAGGCATTAAGCGCCGATACGACGGGCTTCATTTTCTGTCGAGGTGATAGATTAGATGTGAGGGCGGAGAGAACGGTGGCTCGCGGCAAGCTGCCGATGGAGGTGGTTGGGGGTGGTCGCTGTGAGAAGGATGAGGGGGGAAGGGGTTGGAACCGAATAGCAGAGGCCTGATAAAGCGGGATATGGTATACGTGAGGTTCTTAGGGCGGGACCGTATGGTGTTGTTGATGTTCGATAAATAGTTGATTGTTGCGGCGGGTTGGAAGTTGTGGGCTAAGCTTGATTCAAGCCGCGTTGTCAGGTCCCGCTAAATAAGATGAACGGAGACTCAACCACGGTTACTATTTATGACACATTTACCACCACGAACTCTCGAGAAGCATGGACTCCGCTGAAACCCAACATTTGTTTAAAGATGATCAAATGATATGCCAATAGAAGAAAGCTAAGAGCTTCAATTCCTATTTCCGCCCCGAATATGCGACGAACCGTCGTAACAGCAACGAACAATTTGCAACTCCAAGCCAGATAGTTTAGTTTGTATATTATATTACATCCCTAGCATGAGGGGATACATTCGTAATCCTAGTATTTCCGTTGCTTTTTGTCGTTTCTCATCAAGAAGGCGGTATGAAGCTTCTAGCTTCCATTCGTCTTGTTCCACTCCACGCATTCCGCAAAAGTGACACCAGATCCGCCAAATATATCAAGAGCGCTTCCAATCGTCAAGTCCATCTTGCCTCCACTAGCTAACTTGACGCGGTCGAGATCTCCCAGATTCCTCCCTCCGCCAGCATAAGTTACTGGAATAGTGCACCATTCGCCCAATTTTGATACCAGCGCGTCGTCAATTCCTTGTTGCAGACCCTCGACATCCGCAGCATGGATAAGGAATTCGGAGCAGTATGGCTCAAGCATTTCAATGGTCTCTGCAAATCGTATCAGTGAATACCGCAACAGGCGTTCCCTTTATATATCGAAGCATATGTACCTTGTGTGATCTCCATTTCTGTTATTGTCTGCCACTTATTCATGGCAACGAACCATGAGTCTCCCTTCTTCCGACAACTCAGGTCTAGCACCAACTTGGACTTGTCATTCCCAAGAGCGGAGAGTATCGTCTGTAATCGATCAAGAGAGAATCGTCCCTCAGGAAACAGGTAGGATGTAATAACCACCTACTACTCAATTTGCACGACGTAAGCCACTTTGCACGAGCACTTGTGGGTAACAAAACAAGAGTAGGAAAAGATCCTTGAATGGTGAACACACTAAATGCACAAACTACATTCACAGAGCGCATGGAAAAACAAACAAAGTAAAAGGGAAAAAAACCCCCGGGACATTCGATAGACCGAACAGACCTTCTCGGCGCCAGCTTCGATCCAATATCGGGCATTCTTGTCGTTAATGCCACCGGCAACTTGCAGACCCCCAGGCCAGGCAGCTAGCGCTTCCCTTGCAGCCTCTTCATTGCCTTCTCCCAGCATGACAACATGTCCGCCCGTCAAGCCATTTTCCTTGTAAAGCTTCGCAAAATATCCGGCAGGGTGGGAAGATATGTAATTCGTCTTCAATTCCCCTGGTTTGGAGGACAGAGTACCGCCGACGATTTGCTTGACCTGTCCCGCATGCAAATCAATACATGGGCGGAAACGAGTCATTATTTCCCCTCTTTTTTTTCTTTGTGATGGGAAGTAGGAACTTTTGCGAACCGAACAACTTTCTGCTTGATATTTAAAACACGTGATTTAAAGCTATCCGCGTTGACAAAATAAAAATAACTTGACTACTTAACTATTTCGTGCTAATCCGATCAGGAAGCTTCAAATCGACACACCACGAACGGCCAGAATTGGTTGGAAAATACGTACAATGCTGGGCAAAAGAAAGCGGGATGTCGTTGTCGTGACGAGACAAATACGTCAAGAGGACAGCGACATCCAAAGCCTATCTCCATCGGCTGACGAAAAGCAAGATATTCTCCGCAAAGTCTTCGAGGCTAGATTTGGACCAGTGGAAGCCCTTGTCAAGCCGATAGCTAGGAGTCCTGAGGAGCCATCGCATCTTTCGTTGGCAGAAGGCAACGACGACGAGTGGGAAGGTCTTTCAGATCAGGTCGACAATGCTGCTAGTGATGAGCACCCATCTGCGGAAGTCGTTGAGCACACGACCTCATGGAACTCAGCGAAGGATATGTTAGATAAACCGGCCCGGAAAGCTTTTATGGTGTGTTTCATTCTACTATATTCATATTTCATTCAAGCAGACCTCTACCTACCCCCAGTATCTATGCACAGAAAAGAAAAACAAAAAGCAAAAACAAAAAGAAAAACATCAAGAGGGGATACAATGATATAAATTCTAATAGTCCTCTCATATCCCTTCAGACCTCAAAGCCACCACCGTCCTCTAAAGAAGCGCAGAATTCAGCACCAAAAACGAAAAAAACAGGAGAAGCGGGCGCCGCTGCCGATGATCAAGCCATGGAGGCTGAAAACCTGAAAAACGACCTTGCGCTACAAAGACTATTAAAGGAGTCACATCTTCTCGAAAGCGCTGATGACCTTAACCCAACCGGCGCAAAAAGGCATCGCGCGATCGACCTCCGGATGCAAGCTGTGGGAGCGAAATCATCAATATTCTCGCAGGCGAAAATGCCTATGTCGCATCGCAAAGGGATTATTGGGAAGGCGAGCAAAAGGGAAGAAACGCGGCGGAGAGAAGCGAAGGAGAACGGGATTATCCTTGAGAGGCCTTCGTTTTCTGCAATTGGTAGAAATAAAAAGGGGCGCGTTGGTGGGGGTGGTGCTATGCGCAAAGAGAGAGGTATTGGGGGTCCTTCTGTTGGGAAGTTTACAGGGGGTACGCTAAGACTTAGCAAGAAGGATATTTCTGATATACAAGGGCCAAGAAAGGCGGGAACTAAGGGGAAAATAGGCGGGGGAAAAGGAAGAGGAAGAGGGAAACATAATTGACATATCGTTTCGAGTTGGGGATACTATTCATCTGCATGGTTTGGATGCGATATTGGATCATATACTGCCAAATCTACGGACCACGAACCTGCGGCGCCTAGATGCCCATTATTATGAGTGTCACTTGACACAGCCGGAACTCTGAGTCAGGGTTGATCGGGTTTCCTCAAAACTCTGTGGACTTCGGGGGAAAGAGTTTTAGAGAAGCCAACAATAGCCTGGTTCCATTTCAACATGTGTTAGGGTGGTTTCACGTTCTGCCGCGGAGCACGGATAATCAAAAGCAGGCCGGGGAATTTTGGATCCACAGACAGACAAACTAGATACTCATCTGCGTGTTGGGTCCAAGCTCGAGAATTTTTCCCATTCTATTTTTGGTTGCGCCGACTGCAATGCCGAATTCGCGGTTTGCGTTTCCTTACAGAGTTGCTCTAACCCTTAATCCGATTATCCGAAACCTATCCCACTCTCAATTAGGTTGGGGTTTACCTATATATATCGTCATGTATTGCGTTCGTTATGGACTCACCCTTTGATGGCTCTATATACGGCGGTACAATCTAATTGGTTCGTCAAATCGGTGAAGAGGTTTCTTGAGTTCTCCGCAAGCATATCCAAAAACGTGCAACATATCTTCTTGGTTTTTGATTGTTCGAGGAACGATGTCGATTAGTCGCCAACATGAGCAAACAAGTTTCCCTCGCCGGTCACAGCAACGTAGAACGGGACCCCCAATATGCGCCTTCAATTTTCCAGATGTTCCTGAAATTCGTTGCACTGAGCAATATTCGAGGAGTGAGCAGCTGTTGGTTATGGATCATATCCCCTAGCAGAGCTCTGTTTTTACTTATTCCTCAAAATATCGGAAAACTACATGTGTTCTTCGACCATACACCGTGACTGAGTTCACAGACCGAACCCCGTTGGGAAGCTATCTTTCCGCACCTCTAGCTGAAGAAACCCCGGAACAGGTGTCACCACTGTGCTTCCGAGGAAATGGCGAGGATCATCCTAGCCTTTTCTCCTTGCCTACTGGCTCAGATAGGATGTCCTCTGATTCTATGAGGGGTGCGGATGGAATCCGGTGTGTTCTTCGCAAACAACTGAGATGCAGCGGCATTTTTCATGCGTTTCAACTGTCATCGATCGCGGACTTTTCTACGGTGACTCGGTTGAATTTCCGCCTACTTCACAGCGATGGCTCCTACAGATGCTTCCTAAAGAACCAAGGGAAAATAGACTTGATAACGTTCTTTGAGACAATATAAATCGTGACAACAGTTATTCTGTTTCCGCCCTGCCAGACTGTGGGGATGGGACGTCGTAGCTCTGCCTCCCCTAGGACACCTAGGAACGATCGCAATGCAAAACGGAATTTTCTGGTTGTGTGTTGCGGCCAGTTCAGCCTCCCATCTGGTGATAACTACTAGAAATTTACTGGCCCTAGATATTATGGGGAGTTTGATTCTCTTGGAGATATGTTGACAAGCAGAGGCGGCGCACAAACATAAAGCGATTTTATCAAGCTTGGATGCCATTTGGATGAAATCCTTGCCTCTTCGGACTAGACTCGTTTAAAAAATTTTGAATATGATGGGGTGACTTTGAAGGGGGATTGATAAAATTAGACCTGTTATTTCATACTCATACGCTGTAGCTCAGCAACCGGTAACATGCTGATGCTGGCATTTGTTATACAGCTGGATATCACTATCCACCTGCACCGGAGATGTTACATAGCGGAGCCACCAACGAACGGCTGGCTCCGTGCTGGACCAATAATTCTCCCTGTCCCTGCTTGCTAAGACCGTGGTCTGCTCGGCCACTTATCATTTTGTGCTGGATAAGCCCTAACGGCATCAGCACTTGCCACAGGTTTACTGGAAGACACCGTGACAAGTGGGATATCACGTGACTTTCACATAAACAGCGCAGCCCCTTTTCCGGTTAGTCTTGGCGATTTGCACTCCGTAAACATCTCCAACTCCAACAAAGCTGCGACATGGATGCCCGGTTGGCGACTGCACGGTGTATTCCTCACTCGACGCTGCGTGCCACTTGCAGCGTAAGGCGGGGAAAGCCGCGCAGGACATCGTGAATCTACACCTGTTGACCTGGAATAGTACTTGCTGCCGCTGAGGAGCACTTCGTACGTCCACGGCTTGAGGTCATGTACTCAGTTGCACAGTGTGGATGCTATTATTATTGATAATCTACCGCCGGGCATGATTGCTCAGCCGCTTTTGCCCTACGCACTGGGCCCAGAGGGGAACGGCCTCCTATTTGTTGCTAGCGTTGATGTGCACCAGTTAGTGTAGCAGCTGGCGGCGGGCTCCCTGGCATCCCATGAATAGTAATGTCGCATTGGGCAACAGCCCCAATGAGCGAGTTGGCTTCGCCTAACTGGGTTCAAGGCCTCCTTCAAGTTTCCAATCTTTCGCTCTTCTCAAACCCTCTCTTGTTCTTCATTCATATCTCGTCGGGGAAACACACGGAATCCATCCTTTAAACGCTTGAATTTTCGCGGCTTAGGCTGCTTGCTTGGCTGTTGATGCAACATCGGCGCCCTCCGATTTGCGACCTCCCCACGGGTTTTTCATTTATTCCATCGACCCGCTATGATGATGGCGGTGACGCGAACCGCTCTCATCACAGCATTGACCCTCATCGCTCTTCTGAATAAAAGCTTCTCGGCCGCTGAGGAGCTACCAAGCTGGTTCAACGGATACTATATATTTCCAGCGGACGGAACTACTTCAGGTTCGTGACATGATAAATAATTTTATATAGAGTAGAGCAGATAGCGATGAATGATGGATTGCTTTTTTTTTTTTTTTTTTTTTTTGTTTTTGAACTGGCGCATTTTTGCTAACATCAGTCGCTGCTTCTTAAAAACCACTCGCAGTCGAATCGATAACATGCCGCGATAGTAACACGGCATGGGTAACGTCCGGAACTTATGCCAACTGCTGCGCGAACACGTTGACCACACGATGCCCGATGCCTACGAAATGTGAAGATGCATCGGTTACATATGACAATGGTGGCGGATATGCCTGGTACGTACCTCACACCACCATCTGAAAAAGAGAATGATGGGTGGGTGGGCGCTGGGGGATGAAAGGCAGAGCAACTTATCTGCCTTGAGGCCAGTAAGGAAAAGGTACCGTTATCACTTTATTTCTAACATTTGGAAACAAAGTCCTCCTCGGCAATCATGCGCAACGATGACAATATATGAAACCTCTCCCGGCGGCTCACCATCTGCGACGAACATTTTCTGTTGGGAAAATTGGAGCGCGTATACAGTCTACCGCAAGCTCCCCCCCGAGGTTTCGGGTAAGTTCATTGCTTTCTTATGTACCGTTCTCCGGTCGCCTGGCCATTCAATACATTCTCCCCGAATCCCTATTGTTTTGCTTAAAATAAACACGCCCCTTACAAACGGGGAAGGGGCGCGGGGCGGAAGAGAGGAAGGAGAAGGAAAAAATCCATAAAATTTTGAACCATAAATCACACTGCTTACAGCCCCTCTATTCAAGATACACATACAATAACACAAACAATAACAAACCCACCAGAAACTTCCAAACCTCGAACTCAAGATTCAACCCAGCCAACCCAATCAAGCCAACGAACTAAACCAAACCAACCGAACCAACCAAACCAACCGACAGCCAACCCACAAGATTCAGCCTCGCTACCACCCCCCACTTCTCTTCCTAATTCTCCTCCAGAAAAGTCCGAATCCAACGCAGGCGTGATAGCTGGCGCCACCATCGGTGGCATCGCGGGCGTCAGCATCCTCGCTCTAGCCTTCTTCTTTTACCGCCGGAAACAAAAGAAGGGCGATAGGATTCCCGCGGACGCGGCTGAATTAGACAACTCTCATGCGCGAGCCGAACTGCAGAGCCTCCATCGAGGCGTTGCGGGCGGCAAACCGAAAGGGCAGGGATATTATGGATACGCGGCTGGTGGTGCCATGGACGATGGAGCGAACTCCGACCCTAGCCAGAATTACGTCCATGAATTGCCGGTCGTGATGAAAGATTCTAGTGGCTATGGTGGTTCTGGTGGCTCTCCGGTTAAATCGAATGCGAGGAGGAGGGACAATTTCACCTATGAGATGCCTACGGGCCCCGATTGAGGAAGCCAAAGGCATTGGACTTGTAGACAGGTGCCGTGGAAGTTATAATTCTGAAAAGTTACTTACTACGAAGAAGAAGCAGAAAAAAATAACCCCGATGTAAAATTTCCTCCCGGACCCCCATTTGGATGGCTGAGGGTTGCAAATGAATGCGGGGTGGATCAACAGATTGACAAACAAAACTTTACTTGTTGATCTTATACATTCTTGCTTCATCGATTCTTTTGTTTCTTTGCATTTTCATATTTAACATATCAGTTTTCTCTCATCCGGTCTTCAATGTATGAGTGTACTTTTCTTTTCTTCTTTCATCGTTTTTTCCTTCATCCCCCCTTTCCCTCGCCTTGTGGCGTGTATATACCCTCTTGCTTTCTATAAAATAACCCTTCCCACCCTAATGACTGGTTTTTGGTCCACCCTTTGGGTATTAATTCTTCATTTTTGGCTTCTTCTCTTTCTTCCTCTCCCTCTTCTTCCTCTACTCCGCCATTATTCGTTTCTAGGGAAGAAAAAAGGTCAAAGAAAAAAAAGAAAATTTCATTCGATATAGCGACGTCAAATACATTCACACCCAGTGTCAAAAAAGCTGCATCATCCACACTCAGCGTTATTGATATGTTTTGCCATCAGAGCACGTATAGAAACAAGTATCTAAAAATCGAGATGGAAATCGAAAGTGAATATAGGGAGTATATGCCCATCTCTAGTTACCAATATGCGGACATACACGTGTTATTGCGTCTTTTGCCTCTACATGACTCAATCTCTTAGAGGACGGGGTTTAACTGTTTCAGAACACTGACAGAATTTGCATTCATTTGCTCATATAATAAAATATACCATTATCGATGAACTATGCTGATATCCTTTGTACGGTTACAGAAAGAATACTTTGAGCTCTATCGACGGAGGCAGAAATCGTGAAGTGAACCTATCGATAGAGTTCATTCAATAAGATTATATAAGAACACCATGACCTATTGGTCATTTTTCTCTCAGAAAGAAGACAGCGATTAGCTAGCCTACCTAGAATCGCCACCAAGAAGTCATCATCTCCCGTTGGGCTCCAGCAGAAAGCCGATGGCACTGACGGAGCAGCCCGCTAAAAATCCCCACGGACCCTGGTGTACTGTCTGCAGCATTTCCAGCACATCCCAAGGCATATTTCAGAGGCTCGGAAAGCAGGTTGATGACGTGCGGAGGAAGCAGAGGCGACAACTTACAAGCACACAGGAGAACGCCACGCGGGAGGCTGCACCAGCCCGAACCTCGTCACGGATGAATGATGATGAAATCACGCTGCCCCTCTATTGGCTCCGAGATTCTTTGCATGTTTTTTTTTTTTTTTTTTTTCGCAAGTTCGGGGTGCATCAATGTACCGCCACCTGACGTGTTGGCTTGATGTTTTTAAACATCTCCTTGCCCGGGATGAGGACGATTAGCAAGGAAGATATGAACGGCACGGATACGTGCCCGAGAAACGCTTTTGAGAATCAACGTGACACTCTCTTGACATCAGAGCGTTTGTTCATTGCGAATGTGTATTAGCTCTCTCCATTTCCTCAAGGAGAGCAGTTCGGGCGATCCCGCTCTCCCTGACCCTCCTGCGTGTCATACGGCATGTCTTTTAATGCGAAAGAATCACATTCCAAAGCCTTATCCCTGCCAGGATGTCGTCAATCCATGACTATGCAGAGCCAATGGAGAGAGATTCTGTATCATTTTTGATGTGCTGGCTGAAAGTCACAAGGCCTTGATTCAAGCAACAGATTGCGTGCTTTTGCTCAGATAGTTCGGCAAACTTTTGTTCTAACATCAGACGAGATATTAGATCTGATTTCCTTAATATTTCCTTTCTATATAGCCACGCCACGCCACGAGGCTGGTGGAGATGTAGTAATTTGAGGTATTTGACTGTGAGAAGCAAGCCGCTCAATGCAATTCCTCATTCCTTTTTCCAACAGAACATGCTTAATCTCCGTACAATAGAACACTTAGAACTATGTCTTGTACTCTGCTGCCATTGAAGTGCTCTCCCTTTGCTATTTGTTTGATATTGCTTGTTGTTCAATCTCTTCTAGCTGCTGGATTAATTTCCATCTTAGATGAAAACCAACAGGACTGGGTTGAAGCAACACTGACTGCTCTTTGCCGATTCTGATGTTTGACAACATTACGCGCGGACGCGGTCCTCGGGTAGTTCTCATTCCAATCTGTGTTTCTGAGAGTATCGCTCCGGCTACACTTTGCCCAAAGATCCAATGATTCTCTGGAGGAAGATGAATGATAATGAGCATATGTCGATGCAGGCTTCGCTCGCCTCCGGCACATTCGTTGTCTCGTCACCGGGAACTTGATCTGTCAGGCTGAAGGAAGCTGAGCAGCGTTGTTTGTGTTCTTGAGGCCTTGAAGGCTTCTTTTCACAAATTCGTAGCTGTTGCTGAATGTCAGTGTCTGCCTCGCTTGTATGTTCGCGATCTTCAGACATGAGGTATATAAACTGTGCTTACTGAGGTTTTGCGAGATGGAGCTTTCTACCTCCATGTTTTTGACAGAAGCTTTGGAACTTGAAAGAAAAGGAAACAGAAATTGTATTTACTCTTCAGTTTACTTCGCAGAAATAGAAAGAGTCAATTTATTTGTTTATCAAGTATGAACTCTCTCATGAACTTGAGTTGAATCTGAGCAGATGCATGTCAAGGTAAACCCGAGGTCAAAAAAACATTCATAGCTTCAAACTGCAGGGGAGGAGGTACCAACGGTACAGCACAATAGTTATTTCGTAGCCTAGGAATTTTAACGAAATGCCTTAGTTTCCGGGCCTATTAAGCTACAAACCGCCTAAGATCGCCCAGAACCCCATTAATCAGGCGCTAAGAAGATGCCTGTACTCTAGGCGACTTCAGACTTCAGCCACCCCCGCATCAGCTCACTCGCATTCGTTCGTATTCCAGGTTTACTCTCGAGTCAGCATTAAAATAATGACTTACCGATGCGAAACGCCATGGCTGCTTACTGCTCCTCATTCTTGAGGACATCATGGGTTCGTTCTGTTCCGACTGGACACTGGATAGTTGGGGGCCATCATTCCTAAATTTATGTTTGACGGGGGCGTGCAAATACTCCAGATTACTCCATCTAAAAAAATTTTGATGATAATATAACTAACATCAATTACACTGAACCTCTCAAGTTAATATTTACAGCGCCCGCCTCGCAAATCAGCTCTTTTCAAGAAGAAGAAAAAAAGAAAGAAGAATGATAGAAGTCGTTCGTCATGTCGATCCGTTCATTCCGTGCACGCACTAATGCCAACCATCATCCGATCACGCATTGGCGCATCACAGATCAAACGACGGGTACAATCTCCAAATCTGAAACGCTGGTCTCAGGATCCGGGGATATAGCCAAGAAAGCTCCTGAGACAGGGACAAGCGCATGACATGTCAGGAACAAAATGCTGCTGCGTCCATGGGTGTGCCGTCGTTTCCATTCTCGAGTGGCTAACGGGGCTTTTTTGTGTTTGTTTTTTTTCCCTTCCCTCCCCCCCGTCTCTTTGAATTCCTTGGACTGGAACCTTGGAAGGAGTAGTGGGAAGAAGTGAGGAGATGAGCAAGTCCTTTGGATTGTTCAAGGCTGTCTTTTTCCATATGTATCCATCCCCTCATGGGTCAATATGTGGTAGGCTGAAAGCGCTTCTAACAAGATGGAAGGTTTGAGAACGTTTGATTTTGCACCGAGTAAGAGGAGATGCTAAAGACCTGGCCTACTTGGTTGTTGTCTCTTCTTCGATGTTGATAATGGTAGCGGATTAGTTCCGCGTAGGTTTCCTTTTCTGTGCAGGTGTCCTTTTTTAATTTTTATTTTATTTTTATTTTTATTTTTATTTTTATTTTGAGAAACAAGCGAGTCTGCACACAATGCAGTGTTGCAACAGTGCACAGTGAGACCTTTGTCAATCATGAAACTCGAGACAGAGGTGAAACAGGTGGAGCGAAGGCTAGCGGCCATTTGTCTTTTCGTCACCTGAGGAAGTTCCTTGTCTGCGTTTTCTGCAGAATCCGAAAAGAAAAAGAAAAAGAAAAGAAAGCAAAGGAAGGAAAAGAAGTTAAAAGGAAAGGAAATTGTGATTTTTCGAGGCCCTTCGAGTGAATTTGGTCTCGGAGAAGAGCAAGTTTGCCCATAATATAAAATTTGACGGCGTACGCCACCAATCTCCACCCTTCATGGCAGCTTGTATAAAATTTCGTTCCGTGCAGCACGAAGATGGAATGAATTCGTTTCCAGCTTCATGAATGTCGAGAGGTGGTAATAATTATCCTATATTTCGTTGGATGTGGCGGCGTTGATGGCGTAAGAATGATTTTCAGAAAAAATATCAGCATCACTACCTAGTACCTATCACAGTTGTTGGATCTTACATACTTACTTTGTTGAAATTGTGGAAAGAAATATCAATTGTTATTCAAAGATCATTATCAAGGATGAAAAATCATCATCTTATCAGCAGCTGCTGTGGCAGCAGTAGATTGATTATGGAAGCTATCAGCCATATTTTGACATTTGATGAGGCATGGACTTGTACAAAAAAAGATGATGACACAATATATCTTGCTACTGTCACAACCCCAAATCAAGCTTTTTGGATGAATGTATAACCTCAGTGGCTTGTTAAATACATCAAATCTCATACTTACAAGGCATTCGGATAGTGCAATTTGATAATTGCATGATTGTTCTTCAAATCCAATTAGCGCTTGGCAATTAGGCGAAAATGAACTTTCCAATACACTTTTCGTTCATGCGCGGGGCATTGCAAAATCCGTCTTGCAGCCCCACCCTAGGTAGCATCGGATTACAGATGTAATCTATACAGTGCAGATTGTAGTCGGTCAGTCATTGGTGAAATCAAAACGTGGGGGGAAATCTCCCTTGGGGAAGAGGTAGGTAGAAAGCGGTTATGATTCATGAACATCATCTGCAAATGGCCCACTTTTTGGTGCCGGCCTGTCTTTGAGGAGTGAGTGGCACGGTGTGTTAGATTAGAGGAGGCTTAACGGTGGTTGATACTCCAAAGGTTGTTGCAGCGAAAAATCGGAACCAATTGAATGTGAATGTGCATGCCCTGTAAAACTCACTGGGACTCAAGACAGTAAGTATATAGTTAAAGTCCCATAAACACGCTGCCAAAACTGAGAGGCTATTATTTGAAGAAAGGTTCTTAACTATATATATATCATCAAACTCTGATTCTTCTAAAGTTCGCCTCTTGTGCTGCACGAGAGGCTTGTAGATAGATGTCTTTGAGCTTATTCAGGCCTTAGCATTCTCAGGGGTTTCCGATGTACGGATTGTGTTTCCATAGTACTGCTATCGTAGAGTATTTCTCATCAAATGGTTGAGCATGTTTTCGCAAGTCTTTCCACAATTGACTTCTGAGGGTGGAAACAAGTCAGGTACCGTTTGCCTCGCGTAATCGCCTTCATCCTCGGAAAGGTTCACTAACTACGCAGTAGCTAGCTAGTGAAACTACTTTGTGGAAGCTCAATTCCATCAACTCTCACAATTTTTAATGACAGGTAACTGCCATCTGTGCAGTTGTAAAGCGTGCCTGGGCATTATGCTGGCTTCGACGACAATTTGTATATCGCCCAGCGTTAATTTCCTCACGCGTGGCTCCAATCGACGCTGCAAACCACCAAGCTTGTCAAGTTGTCATCCTCAAGCAGGGCGATCGATTGGCTTGGAACCCTTGACATTGTGCTAACATCTAGATAAGCCCTGCTTGTTGTGAGCAATGGCTTAGTGGATCTGTACCGAAATCCACACTCAGTGCTAGAACTAGAACAATCCAAATCCTTTGACTGGAGGCACCACACCAGAAACCCCAACCAACCAAACCAACCAACCTGAGCCAACCAACCAAACTATCTAGTTGGCCCGTTCGCTCAGTGAAGAGGGGAAAACGAAAAAGTTAAGGAAACATATATCAAGGAAGAAAGAGACAAAAAACAGACACAGAAAAGTTGTGGAAGCGACCTAACTAAAGAAACTTACAGTACGCTCATCGCCCATGACCATGCTCTCCTATCCGCTCAAAGAAGCAGCAAGCAACAGAACAAGAAGAAGAAAGAAGAAGAAAAGCCAAGCCAAGAGAGAGGGACAAATTGCAAGCACAAACCACCCAAGTCACACCCCCCGCTCACCCGTCCCTCTCTTTTAGAACAATGGCGCAGCTCAATTTCAGCTCTGACCACCCCGGTGATACATCCTTCTTCTAAACATCATACATCATCAAGAAACCCTACCCAAGGCCCCCTCAACAGGATAGATTGGACCGACTGAACGAGAACAAAAAGCAGCTGAATTCCAGAATCACTTGGGACCCACCAATTCCAGAGTGCCGGATGCAATTTCCCTCTCGTCAGGTCTGCCTCCTGCGGCTTCTGGCCGATCCTCAATGTCTACCTGAGGATGCCGGCCGAATCCCGCGCTGCTGGGATTTGGAGGAGTTGGGGTGGGGGTTGATTGTGTGCGTGTGCGTGTGCGTGTGCGTGTTTCATGGCCTTTCTATAACTCTCTTGGGCTGAGTATGAGATAGAGCGAAAAAATATAGCACCAACCAGACCAGGGAATGCCGTTTCAGCTTTAGGTACTGTACATTGTAACCTTGCAGTTGCAGTATGTGCGGTAAAGTCCAGGACATACCTCCCCGGATGGGAAGAGTTACCCTTTTTTTCTTCTTCCTTTTTCTCAAACGGGAAGGGAGGTGGTAGGTCGGGAAAAACTTGGAAGAAATACTATTGTTATTCTCGATTTAATTGGATTGCTGGCGCAGTGCATGTTCTTGGATTGTGGTGCGGTGCAGACCAAGCAAAATACGGCTTGATCCTTTCCAAGGTTATTATATGATATCCATATACAACCGAGGCAAGATATTCAAACTTTTATCTGTTTATATATACTAATATCTCTTGACGATTTCTTGGATATTATGAAGAATGATAGGTGGTAGTTACTTGTGACACAAATAACCATGCGCAGAGGAGCTCCCATGAATCAGACTGATACCTGTAAACTAGCTTAGTGCTCAGCGGCCAAGCTTTGGACTTCAACCCCTAAACAGGCCCATATCTTTTGCCCAACCACCGTAGGATCTGATTCTCTCATAAAAGAGATGTGCATGGGCAGTTTTGTTCTTTGAAGTTCTACTTTCCGCCTTTTTCCCTTCCTTCCTTCATTCTTTTTTCTTTCTTCGCTCTTGCTCTTGTCCTCCTTGGAAAGTTAAAAAAAACAAATCCCACACTGTACCTTGCAAACCCCCGCCATGAATCAAGGAAAACTCGAACACACATGGCACCTACCACCCCAAGCTCCTTAGTCGAAACTCAGCTTAGCAGGCCCTGGTTATATACGGGACGGGAGGACGGTGGCGTTGGAAACCCCCATGTTCCTCCCAAGAAAATACTTGATGATGACGTAAGGAGACCATACAGTCACCCAAGTTAACTAGTTAACTAAAATATACTCAACTTGAATTTTGGCTTCAACCGCGGCGGCACGAGCATCCAAAAACTCAAAACGGGGAACCTAAGTGTTGTTTTATTTAGCTTTTTTTTTTTTTTTTTTTTTTTTTTTTTTTTTTTTAAATTCATATTCATATTATTTATTTATTTATTTATTTATTTTTGCATCCATTGATCATGAATTTCTTTTCTTGGAGCTATTATTACTTTTGAGAATGCTTTATTCTTCCTTTCTTTTCTCTGCTCTTCATCCTGACCTGTTGTTTTTTGGTCGTGAGGCTGTGTATATATCATATATATTGAGAGATTTTTTTCATTTTTTTCATTTTTTTCGATTTTTTTTTTTTGTAAAAACACAAAAAAGACAAAGGTGCATCTGCTTGAAAAAACTCTTTGGTTCTAGATGTAACGTGCCCTACTCTGGTTTTAGTCACCTAAGTTGAATGTTATGTTATGCAATGATCTGCCAACTTCCATGGGTGCATTATAATTGGTGTGGTGTAGTTGTTGGGGTTATATCTGCAAACGGGGTATTTTATTTTTTTTTGTTTCTCCTCTCTCAACAACAAAAAGAAAAGAAAATATTACGTCAATCAAGGTATCCAAGTAACTAACTATCTAAATCAGTGTTCAACATTGTAATTCACCATTCCATCCGGCGTTATCGTCATTTTCTCACACGCAAGCTTATTAGTAATATCGTTAAGTAGTAATTTTTTATTGAGGGGTTGGTAGGCCGGTTTTTGTTCAAACAGAAGGGATGGGATCCATGTGTTTCACTCTAACATGTTTATCCTTTTTCCGTAAAACCACATTTTTCCCAACTACTGTAAATGGCTAAGGTTACCCACCAACACGGCCGGGTGAATGATGGAAAAGGTATCTCGCACGGAAGAGCCCTTTTTGAGGAAATAGTGCCAAAAACGGGAAAGGTGTAAGTAACTACGCGTAACAAAAAAAAAATCCTCAAGAAATTTATAAGTTAAAATTCCTTGGTTGGCTCAACTTCGACTTCTTCTGAATGATTGTTTTTTTTTGTTCAATTTTTCCTTTCTTTCTTTCTCTTTTTCTTCTTCTTTATGTATGCAATCACTGCTTTTTTCCCCCTTCTATTCTTTTGAGCTCTTTTCCATTAATTTTCCATTAATTTTCTTTGCTTCTAACTTTCCAGCAGCTAGTTAACCTTAACTTCTTTTATACTTTTCTTTCTGCTGTTTCGTCATCAGCCTTAACTCTTGATCCGACTCTTGGCATCTTGCGGGTTGCAGAGTGTATCTTCCGATCAGATAGATGGCTTACTTCGAGTTGGTTGCATGGGCAGGGCTTCAGGGATTTTCTACGAGCAGTTGGTTTTTCTTTGCTATAATTCTTGTATATAGAGCTTCTTTGTATTGGTAGAGAACCATGCCCAAGGATTGATTATTATTATTATTATTCTTATTATTCTTACTATGCATCTTATCTATCTTCTACACGATTCGAGTAAAAACCTAGAAAATCCTCCCGATTTCGTTGTAATTCACGTGAGGGGGGCAAGATGCACATTCACATGCCACATGGTCTCCTCGTCCTTCTACACTGTACTTTCCTCCTCCTCCTCCCTCATCATCTCCTTCTCCCTTCACCTTTTCCCCTTGTAGGTTTCCAGAAAGAAAGAAGGGGGAAATAAAAAGTCATTGACGTAGGTAGGGACCTTCAGCAGAAGGTCGGAAAAAGCGACCGACGACGAATGATGAATCCCGTGGGTAATTTTGTTTTATTTTTACTTTTTATTTTTATTCTTTTCCCTTTCCCTTGCTTGGGCGGGTAAATTATTCCGTCGGGGGCTATCCACCGAGGTTCTTTTATTTTTTTTTTTCGCTTGGGCTCTGATGAAACGCGCTACTGGCCCAACCTTTTACCCCCTTGAATGGACGAGTGCAAAGGGGCCCTTGGCGGGAGAGAGGGGAGGGATGGGGTATGATATGTCGATTTAGGTTCATGGTGCGAGCAGGGGGGTTTGCATCGCCAAGATAGGTTTATCGATAGATTGTGGAAAGTCTTGGTTACCGTTTCTGGCCTGAAAAAAGAGAAAAAAAGAAAAAAGCCTTCGTCTTGTCTTATTTTATTTTGCATTTTATTTTATTTTATTTTTACTTTATATCTATATCTATATCTATTTGTTGTATTCTTTTTTGAATTTTTACGCTCCCGTGACAGGGAATAAATAGGCTTTTGCATATGATTATCAGACTCATCGTGAGTTTGCCACAGACGAAGAATCCATGTTTGGAGAGAGGGCATTGACACCAGGCTTGACCCGACGACGACACAGCTTAACCTATGCTAAATCTACATTCAGTATATGATCACGTCCGTGTTTTGTTCCGCTACCCGCGTTTCCCTTCCCACCCGTAAGTAACATCCGTACGCAGCGGAACGACAACAGCCGGCTTTCTCAGAAAAAGGCTCCTTGCAACCCTGCGGGTTCTGGACACACAAGAGCTATGGGAGGGAAATGCAAGAGCCAGGTAATGATGGTGGGATGTGGGATGTGGGATGTTTGGTTTACCCAGCCAGAGAGTTGATTGAGGTTTAAGCTCCAGGAACGGAACCGGGCAATCCAGAGTTCAGCAGAGCTTATGCCGACTGCACCTATTCCAAGGCGTATTTCTTATTTTCTTGTTCTTTGCTTTTTCCGGTTTTTTTTCTTCTTTTTTCTTTTCCTGCTTCCGTGGAGGCTTGTGCTGTTCGTGAGCTATTTTTGGATACGCATTGTATGCATTTTAGCGCTGGGAAGGGAGAGAGAGAGAAGATAAGATGGTCATGGGCGATAGAGAGATAGGCGCTGGCTGGGTGGGCCAGCAAGAAAATCTCGGGCGGGAGAGCGACAATTGATTTCAGCATGTAAGGTTTTGCCAAAGCTTTTGCATCCTGCGGTTTGGTTGCGGCGCTTTTTCGACGATTGATTTTCTGCGATTCCTAACTCCATTCTCTTCGGGGGGCTGGACCTCCAGCACGCCCACTGGAATCCACGTAACTTAATACGGCCAACTTGAGCATGTAATTGCGTATGTATGTATGGATGTAAGTAACTATGTATGGGCTGTACGATACCTATACGCAGTTGTCGAATCAGTAGAAATCAGTATGACATTATAATACAGCCTGGTTGGGAGTGTGTTTGTATGTGTGCGTGCGTGAGTATGTGAGAGAGAGAGAGAGCGAGAAGATAAGCGCACTCCGTGCTCCGTAGTCCGCTTGTTCTTCAAGATCAATGCGACTATAATTAACCCTCTCGCCGTCGTCGTCGCTTGCCCGCTCTCAGCTTCTCGCTGCTGTCATCCGGCACCTTGACTGGACTGCGTCGTCGACCCGTCGCGGAGCTAAGGGCGCACTTAAGGGCGCACTACCTGGCCCCGACCTGCCTAGTGGCCTAGTCGCTCCACCGATTCCAGCCAGTCATCCGCTGTCTCCTGTCTCCTGTTCCAGTCTCCAGTGCCCAGCGTGTCCAGTGGTCGGAGGCCCACCAAACCCTCCGCCAGCCCCGTTTTTTTGAACCTCGTCTCCTCCACCAGCACCCACTGGACAAACTGCCCAACCGTCCACGGTGCCCGTCCCAGCGGCCAGTGTCGACTCACCCTGTCCTGCTGCGTTCTAGTCTTTGATCGCTTGAAAACTCAGTTCTTACGTTCTGCTCGCTTCTCTGGGCCTGCTTGCCAGTTGGCTCTACTTTTTTCCCTTATCTCACCCCCCCGTCCCGCCCCCTTCACGATCTTCTAACAACACTCTTCTTCCCTCCAGTCGTCTTCTTCTACTTCTGCCTCTTCCTCTTCTTCCTCCTCTTCCTCACTCCTGGTCCCCACCTAGTTCAGTCATCCTGTTTTCCTGTTGTTGTGCCTTCTCTTTTGCTTCTTTCTCTACTTTCTTCTTTCGCTTCTACTTCTATTTTTCGTTTCTTTGGAAACCAGCGTCGCCCATCATTTACCATTACCTTTTTAAATACCTTCGTTTCGATTCCATCACACACCCTCAGTCCATCCTGTCGAGCGCTCCAAAGTCACCTCTCGCTCTCTCTTCCGTTCTCGAAAGAACGAAAGGATCGAGGCAACAATTCAAGCGTTCATAAGATTTAAAAGATAAACAAGAACATCGTAAAGAAAGATAGAGAAAACGTTGATTCGGGCTGGCCCAATTTACTCTTCTCTTCTTCCTTTCTTCTTGATAGGATTCGCATCAGTGCTTGGGATACATTTTTTTGAGGCTGGCTCCTCTCACAACCATCTGGAATAGCGCCCTATTTCCAACCCTTTTTGACAATCGTTTTCTCTTCTCCATTTTCGTTTCTTCTCCTATTGCGTGGCTGGAGCCCATCGATTGCATCGTTGTCCCGTGTAGTTTTGACTACCCCACAAGACGGTTGGTTCCCGCCTTCCTCTACCCTTTTCTCCTTGCTGGGCCGCTCCTCGCTCAGCCTTCTGCTGTGCTGCCTGTCTTCTGAGAAGACACAGCCCTGCGGAAGACAAATATCATTTCTAAATATAATCAGAATGCATCCTCATTACGATATGTGACTGACACTCTCGATCTTGTTAGAGATAGGTTGACTCGCAAATGGCGATGTATTCGCAGCATGGCGCTTCGATGGCACCACCACAGAAACCAGAAACCTTCATGCTTTCCAATGAAGCTCAACAAAGTCTCCCCCAAGATGCACAGGTTGCCCTCCAACAGGTCGATAATTGTGAGTCTGCTGTGTCTTTTTACTGTTTCTGTAGGAGCCGCCATAAAGAGTCCTGTCCTTGAGCCGCATTCTTCGAATCTTCCCATGAGTTTTCGTGCTTAGTCACCCAAAAGCACCATCGCTAATTCAGCGCGCGATGCAGTAAAATACTTCCTCATATCTGCTCCGGTTGATTGGACCCCAGATCAACTCATCAGACGATTCCTACTCCCAACAGGCGACTATGTCTCCTGTGTTTTATGGTATGTACAAAGCATGGGAAATGGGAGGAGAAGATCAGCAGAGCCTAATGGGAGATCGCAGGAATAACCTTTTCCATATCTCGGGAACGGACATCGTGCGATGCTTATCCTTTCGATTCCAGGCCTTTGGCCGCCCGGTTAAAAACACCAAGAAGTTCGAAGAGGGCATTTTCTCTGATCTTCGCAACCTCAAATCCGGGACTGATGCGTCCCTCGAGGAACCGAAGAGCGCCTTTTTAGACTTCCTTTATAAGAATAACTGTATTCGAACGCAGAAAAAGCAAAAGGTGTTCTACTGGTACAGTGTACCTCACGATCGGCTCTTCCTTGACGCATTGGAGCGGGATTTGAAGCGTGAAAAGATGGGTCAGGAAGCAACTACTGTGGCGGTCAATGAGCCTGCCCTGTCCTTCGAATTCGATTCATCACAGTCTCTCTTTGAGCAACTCACAAAGGCCCAACAAGCGAATTCGTCTTCTTTCTCTGCCCACGCCAGCACAACCTTCTCTCATTCTACTTCTCCTATGGGTAGAGCCACCGATTCTATGCCACCACCCCAACTTCCCCCATCAATGCCAGTTCTTCAAGAGGACACCAGCAACCAGGGTATGTACAATTCAGTGGGGATGCCCAATAACTCGATGAACAACGGTATGAGCAAATCCGAACAGGACATGAGTCATTTTAACTACGATCGAAACGGCACACCAGTCTCGAGAATTCACCAGCGCCATACTTCCATGCCGACGTTTATGGAGTATTCACCGGCCCCGTCGTTCGTTTCATCACACTATGATGAGTTTGGTCCTCGAGGTATATCCTTCGAACCAATTACACCGCCACAGCATGCACTTCATCTTGGCCAGGAGCCTGCATACATTGCCAATGAAGACACTAGCTTGTATATGGGCGTCCCCGATCTTGGGAACTCGACAGACTTCACACCCACTATGCAACTTCCGCCGTCCAATCTTGCAGGACCGCAGTTTTCTACAGCAACCCGAACATTCCCAACCACCAATGTATACTCTGTCATTGAGGGGTCCCCAACCTACAAACAACGGAGACGACGGTCATCGATCTCTTCCAGTATCACTAATGCCATTGCAGCGGCAACGGGACATGCCCAGCAACATTCTAACCCGTCCCACGGCCACTCCCATGCCCATGCCTATTCTGTGACCCAACCAAGTGAGCTTCGCCGTTCCATGTCCAGCTCTGTCCCGGCAGTTATGGAAGGGGAGGAGTCAAACGGCGACTCGCCGCCAGGCCTAACCAATAGTTTCACGTCTACCGTTGTGAACCAAAAGGATCTGCTGCATGAAATATCTCGCACGGGTACTCCACTGCCAAGTTTGGAGGAAAGCCCCCGCGAGCACCAGGTGTCTATGATCCAAGGCCCCGATGAGCTGTCATCGTTACCTAGCGGCGACCAACTTGGTAAGTCTGTTGCCGCGAACTCAGCCAATTGGAAGACGGATCGGCCAGGCCCCGTTCGTCGCGCCCGCAGTGCTACCATGATGGAGCTTGGCCCTTATCCTCAGAAATCACATTCATGCCCCATCCCGTCATGTGGTAGGTTGTTCAAGAGACTCGAGCATCTGAAACGGTAAGTACTGCTAATTTTGATTTGGAGCCTTTGTGTGGCTCAAATGCTGTCGAGTTTTAAATTGTTTTCTAACCGCCGAGTTGCTGACCGGGCGCCTAGACACGTAAGGACCCACACTCAAGAACGCCCCTACCCGTGCCCATACTGCAACAGGGCCTTTTCACGGTCGGACAATCTTGCCCAGTATGTTTCACTTTTCTTTTTCTCACTTCAGACTAGCTAAATATAGTGCCACAAAGTTTTTGTGAGGAGCTACCCCCCCGCTAACTAACGTTGTTGCTGTTTTTGCAGACACCGCCGTACCCATGAAACCCAGCAAAACGGGCAACAGGTTGTGGCTAGCGACTCGGATGAGGATCGCGAGCAAGAGGAGCACGAGCCTGCCGGGTCTTCGCCAACCTCTTCATCCGACCCGCACAACCACAGCCACACCATCCACAGTAACAATACCAATCGTCAGCACCGTAGCAGCAGCAACAACAACAACCACAACAACCACAACAACGGCAACAATAACTACATGGCGACCGGCATAGTCAACATGGCCAATGTAACCTCCCTGCCGTCGTCTATGGTCATGCAATCTGGCTTACCCACTATGGTAACGCCACAGATGATAGCTAGAAGTGGGTTAGTTTAAGCTAGATCGTTAGACTACGTGTTTTCTCTCTTACATTTCTTCGCGCTTTGCTTGCCTCTGCTCAGCCCTTTTGGTATCTATCCCTTCCTCCATCACGAGAGGTGGTAGTTTTGGAACAGCGGTGTTGCCTGTTGCCTCTTTCTTGGCTGTGGATCTGGAATGTTTGATGTTTTCCCATTTTGGCTACGCTTGCTGTGTTTATATAGAGATGGAATCGGTTTATGTTAGCTGCTACTACTGCAACTGCTGTTTTCTTCGTTTGTCTTTCCGTTCCCCCTCAAATAATGCTTAGGATCCGTATCTTATCCATCCTATTGTTTCTTGGGTTTTTCACTTGCGGGATTTTGGCTTTATGACTTCTCTTTCCAATATATACATATATACATTTTATATACATGACTTTTCCGCCCCCCCACTTCTCCACGGCCCAACTTTTCTCTATTTTTTTCTTTTTTTTGAAGAAACTTGATGTATTTTTTCTGTTCTTGTTGTATTGTTACAAGAAACTGACTTTTCTTTCCTGGCCCCTTCAACAACAACCTTAATTGATCGATTGGTTTTAGGCACCAAAACGATAATACAGACTTGATTTCATCACCAACGCATGGGCACATGGGCACCCACACATCTAACGTTGAATGCCAGTTTTGTTGATTAGACGGAGTGAAGCGAAGTCTGAGAATCGTACAAAGATTTGAAGGTGGGCTCAAAAGTTGCGTGGCTGAAATGATTGGATCTGTGGCTTGAATCTCAATGATCTCGTTGATGTATGTAGAGGAGATTTTGGCATCTCTGATTGATTTAAATGGTGGATAATCTCCATTTTTTATTTATGCACTGGAGACTAGTTCATAATTGATTTAGATATCTATATAGTTATATATATTTTTTACCTCTGAATTATCTGTCGACCTACCACCCTACCTACCTGCTTGATATTCGATCGGATTGCTGATGAAATATAGAGTGCTAGCTAGATAGCTAGCTACCTATCTACCTCCCTACCTACTAATTAACCTGCCTGCTCAATATCTAATCAATCTCTATGAGAATAATCATCACCATCTAGCTACCCACCCATCTATCAATGCTAGCTTACTAGCCGACTGCCTGCCTAGACATCTACTGACCGGCTTGAATGAATGATATCCACTGATGATATCTATCAATGATATTTACCAATGATATCTGCAATGATATGTATCGATTATATATACAATGATATCTACGATGATGATATCTAGCAATCATATCTAGTGATCGTATCTATTGACGATGATATCAACATAATGGATAACATGACTTCGCACTTTTGCTCCGTCCTGCCCCCAGCTGCTTGCTTCATGAAACTCCTGCTATAGAGTGTTGTGCCTTAGTTTTCCAACCCTTCGAAGAAATTAAAGATGCCTTCATCTCTGAGATTTAAGAGGTTCATTTGCCCACCCCCAGAAGGGGGGGTGTTAGGGGCAGGCTGCCCCTAGTATGTGTAATGATGCCATTTCTATTCGACCTAACATGCAAGTAGAATGCAATACACAACAATTCAAAGCTGAAGAGAAGAAGCAAAGAAGGCGAAAGCTGCTCGGCGAGGTGTTGCACAAAAACAAAGAATGGCCTAACCCCGTGCCCCTTCTAATATAGTAGTGAGGTCCTGGGCCAGCGCCGTCACAACATGAAAGCTTAGACCTTCTTTGATTTTTTGGGCTTCCTGCGAATTAGTTTATCAATATTTGACATCCCACATACATCTGCTAGGGCGTCACTCAGGGAGTATGGCTGGCTCCTCAGGAAAATAGTCACTCCTCTTAGGCTCCTCTAATTCTGACCCAGGAGGGCATGGTACACACTTATCTTTGTCTTCCGTCATGTTGTGGCTTATCTGGTGTTCAATACTCCTCATGCTCCATTCTTCCTCCCAGGCTTTGTAAGCTTCATCGCATTTTTCGTAACAAGTGCTGTGGAATGTCAGGCCGCAAAAATGAAACTAGTCTTCAATCGCTCTGTTAGACCGCTCAATTATCACGGCATTTCCAAGGAGACCGGTCAGGTAGATGCCACCTTCCATCTTCAGGTAGCCAGGTTTCATCAACTTGGAGAGGGTCATCGAAGATCTGTCCCATACAGGGGACATAGCGAAATTGATTTGAGTCTAGATATAAAGCCAAATATCGGCCACAATCACCGCTAAAAGCTATTTAGTTAGATATGTATGCCATAACGCGTTCCGGCTGCGTCTTTCAAATTAAGACAATATGAGGACTCGATATATGACCTTCCAGTTAGTTTGAAGAGGACACAATGAAACACCCAACAATGACTTCTGTTGTTGGGAACATGTTGGAGAATAAGGACTGTATTCCCGTTCTGAAGACGTTCTTCAATGAAGCCCTTTTCTCTCTCTCCGCTTCCGCCCAAGTTGGGAGACATCTAGAGCCTCTGCCAGCGCTTTGTAGTGTTCCGGAGACCGATGACCCTCATCTTTGAAGGAGCCATTGTCATCACTATTGGAATCATCCTCGTCAATGTTTTCTTCACCACCTTTATGTTTCTTGGGGAAGCATGATTCCGTGTCAGGTGCTGCATCAGGGTCATGATCCGCCATCACAAATGGAGCCGTCGGGGTTGTAGATATCAAGCTTAAGCACTAAGAGGCAGAAGACTTTTGAGTTGGTAGGAGGTGGTCAGATGGTTGGAAGCCCGAGGACGGGGGGGGGGAGGGGTTGCCGGCGCTTTTTCAGTCAGGCTATATGGGAGCAAATTCTCCGTCTTCCTGTTGGGTCTAGCCCAACATCATCAAGCGTTTTTATCACTGGGGCGGGATGTTTTTGGCAGCTGGTATGACCCCCAGGAAGCCAAGAGAACATCTATCAAGATAGCTCCCAGAGCAGGGCCACCAAATTCAGCAGCAACAAGGAGATCTGCATTAAGAAACTGATCCTAAAGGAGTCAAGTCCAATAAGTGTGATGTCATAAGTTAGAAAACTTCATTGGGTTGAATGAGCACTTCTTTTCGAACCGCTGACTGGCTGGCGCCCTGCATTTTGATACAGCCAGCTTAGAAGGGCGGGTTGTTTCGCCAGGGCTGTGGCATCTTTCCTTCTTCTCTCCCCTTCATTTTGGGCAGCGGAATGTTGCCTTTTTGTTATTGCTCTCCTGAGCTCAAGCGTGCACCATGCCCTGGAAAAGACGTCTGCTGGGAAGCTTGAGGTGCTAAAGGATTGACATAGATAAACTTCTTGATTTCTGAGGAAAGCATCAAACTGAATCTGGGAGCAGCATTGGTTAATGAGCCTGACCAGAGGTTACATGTATAGTACAGTGCATTGACCATTCCAATCATATATAGTTCATGAAATTACAGTCCAGCACAATAGAATCTCCCAACACAGATCAGGCTGACATAATGGTTTAAATGTGACACTGCCTCAATTATGCTAGCTGGCTCTGAGAGCACTATTAGCCTCATTGGAAATTTCCAACAAGCCTAATGAGTAGTAAAATATGAGCAGCTATATAACTGTTTTGATTGGCTGTGCTTTCCTAGAAATCTTTCTTGTTGGAAAGGAGGTTGAAGGTGACGAGGAGGCCTGGCAGTGAGCAGGGATAGAAGGAAGGGAAATTTCGGTAGCCAGAAACAGGCTTCAAGAATGTCTTCTGGAAGCATAAAAGGAAAAAGATCACATGACTTTGTCAAGTGCGTGCAATAGTCTCGTGCTTGATATTATAACTCTTTTCGGGCTTGAGTTGAAGGCCTGAATACACCAAGGGACAGAAACTGACAGGGGATACTCATACATGTGTGGAGTGAGTACAGCTAAACAGTTATTCTGATGTTTCAACACTTAACTGTGCTACCGCGTAGGCCCTCTCCCATATTAAACCACCAAATGTTGAATAAGCATGTTAATCAAATCTTCATCCACTGTAAGCCGCTGTTGACCATTCTGCACTGTGTTGCAGAAACCACATCTCCTCAGTCAGCGAACATAGTGGAACTCTTGTGATGCTCTCTTCTCAGGCCCAGATATCTGCATCTTATTTGGGGCATCGCAGCAGCATTGGGAATTTCTTGGATTGTTGATGTGTAAGTTTTTGAAAACAAGAAACCCATCACAAAGTGAACAGAGATAGTATGGATAGCATGCATTTCCCTTGCCATTTGAAGACCATGTAACTCTAAGAGCTCCCTTCCCGCCACAGCGGTAGCAATTTGGGGCAGTCTCAGGGGCTCTGGGTTGAGTAAGAACGGTTGTTGCCATGGTCAATATCGTGGAGGCTGATGCAATTATTTTAATGAGCATTAGAAATATAAATGAAGAAAGGGGAGAGCCTGTTGAGAAATGTTTAGGATATAGAAAATAAAGTCTTATCGGAGTAAAAATAAAGTATTAGTCAGCAGATTTGGAGGCGCGAAAGTCCTTGAAACTAAATTGTGCGTCTAGATATTCTGCCTCATCGGAGTTTGTTGAGATGTCTGAGTCTATTACCGCCACCTCCACGGTAGATGTGATGGTGCCTCCGGAGAGAGAGGAAGGAACTGATTGGGGCTTTGGCCCTAGAAATCTTGTGTTTGCAGCTTCAATAAACTCTTTTCTCTTCTCCTTTGCCCAGTCTCTGGCATTCCGATACGCAGTCGCCCCCTCTCGAAACGTTTTCAAATTCCCGGTCATATTCCAACCATTCAACTGGGTCATAAAATACTCCGGCTGACTTTCAGGGCAACTGGGTGCGGTGGGATGGGAGGTGTAAAGCTTGAGAGTGCCATCATGATAAGTTGATGTAATGGTAAAGGCATTGTTGTCGTAGACCGGGTTCACCCAAAATGACTGAAGGCTTTGCATCGCTCGGGCGCCTAGAGCTCCATCATAGCAGGCTTGCCGTTTTGCTACCGCAGCTGATTGGTCCGGTGTTTTGATTTCTAGGAAGTAATTAGGCAACATTGGACGACTGGCCGCTGTTGAAGGTATAATGATATCGTTAAGCTCGTCGCGGATACGCCCATTTAGTTCTTCGGGCCGGGACCCGTGGAAGTGGTCAGGCTTAGCACTGGGAATTGTGCCATCAGTTAAGGGCCTAAAATTTCCGAATGGATAGTCTCCTCCAATGGTCCTATCATCACTTCCTCCCTCAAGACTTTCGATAATTTTGGTTATTTTCTTTTCACTGGTGGCATATGTATTTGCTCGTTCAAATTGTCGAAACTCTTCGTCGCCGAATTTCGACGGTGACAGGGAACCTCGGCTTTGATCAAGCACATTGTTGATTTGATCCCAATTGCTTGGCTTTTCTGGGATTCTATCATCAGGATATTCATATCCATGAGGATAGACAAAATGGTCAATAAGATGCTGCTCAAAGCCAAGACTGTAGGCACCGGTGCTCTGAGAGCTTCGCTTGGATCGAGTTACGGAAGAGGGCGTAGTGTCTGCTAATGGTCTCTTAGGCATTTTGAAGTAGAGCGGAATTCTATCCTGTCGAAACTAAAGACGTGTTAGATTAATTTGGATTATTATACATAAACAATACATACATTTCTGAGGTCAGAGAGGTCCGGGCCTCCGTGTCTAGCAAATCTCCTTACCCGATCTAAACAATCTGGTTTGCATGAGCTGAGGAACTCCGGGGCGTACGCAACAACGTTCTTTCTTCGTTCAGCGGAAATCTGCCGAGTAATCGGTCTATAGGGCTCTATAACATGAGGTCGCTGGTGAGTGTTTCTTCGATCTAACTCTCTCAAGGCCTTTTTTGTCAACCAAATCTGGGAGAGATTGTCCCAAAACCCTGCTGGTCGTTGGGCTTCTGCTTCACGAACAGAATGCTCAGCTTTCTTCCTTTTGGGCTCAGGCTTCGGGAGCTCCAGCTGTCGCTTAAGCGGTAGGGACATAGGACATTGAGTAAATGATAGCATCAGTAAGAATTTGGGCGATTTGTTGTTTAAGAGGGTGTTACTGGGGCCATGCGCAGGCACACATTGGACATGCCCTGCCTTCACCATAATTGGCCCCTGCTGCCTGGATGCCGTTTATTGATGGCATTCTTATGAACCTTGTTCTTGGCGGAACACAGCCCAATATTCCACCCTGGAAATGATCCAGTCGCCATTGAACGGAAGACGGAAGGTGGTTCCACGAGCACCTACATTAGCCAATAAGTCAGATAAGTCAATAAGAAAAACAACAATGTTAGTCAACTATCCCTCCCACAGAGCAACTTGGCATGTGACCTAGTAGAATAGAACAGGAAAGTTTCTCCGAGGCCCTCTTCGCCAAGGATTGGATCGGCTTTTGGCAGCATTTGGGATTTCCAGAATAGGAATGGTCAGCATTTCCTCGATAAAGGTCCGCTGAAGCTAATCCTTTCAACGTCATCGATCTGTACGCGGAACATTCCTCATTCCTCACCCTCAACCAACCTGCGTTTTCCCCCCGGACATTGCATGCTACGTTGTGTGTGTGGTCTGCGGCTTGCTGTTGGTGGCTTAAGTGTTTACCATTATCATTACCATTACCATTGGGTGATGATGATGGTGGTGGTGGTGGGAATGTGGATCATGATCACAGTCTTCTGAGGAGAACTTTGGAAGAATGCAAAACACAATGAGATGAGATGAAAGACTGATGTTAAAGCTTCCTCTTTTGTCTCTTCTCTTTTATTTATTATTCTGTTATTCTATTATATACAATACATACTAGTACATACATACCTTCCCCCCAAAGGAAAGAAGGAAGTTAAAAAGATATTCGAACGTCGGCTGTTCACTGTGGAATAGGAGAAAGCGAAGAGGGAAGAGGGTGACAAGAAAGAAAGACGAACATATATATATATATATATATGACATATATATATATATATATATATGATACCCGACCCAGCAGCACGGCAGCGATAATTTTCATCTGCTAATAACAGGAACAAAAGAGCGATAAAGGAGGAAAAGAAGGGAAGGGAAGGGAAACAAATATCGCTACGTCCCCTTTTAATTCGTTTTTCTTTCTTTCTTTCTCTCTTTCTCTTTCTCCGCTGCCCCTTTCTTTTTTTTTTATCAACGTCTTATGTATATTTTCTTCTTATGAACTCGTCATCGCCGGATAGAGGGTCGGATCGCTCTCCGCTGCTTGGCGGGGATGAGCAGCCGTCATCTTCGGGACACAATGTTGGTGTTGATGCCAATGCCGATGCCGGAGAGGTCTGTGGCGATGCAGCAGCAGACGAGTTTGCGAAGGAGACCTGCGACGATACGGAACGGAAGAGCAGCTGGTATTTGTTTCTGTTAACACTGAGTATTGGCGGGTATGTTTTTATATTGGCCTTTTTTTTTTTGCTTCGAAATGGTGATTGGGATTGAATGCTAATCTATTTTTCTTATATTCGTATGATTGGACGACACAGCTTGCAGATTGTTTGGTCTGTAGAGTTGTCAAATGGATCTGTATGTATTCGGAGATTTCTATTTACCTGATATTTTTCTTCTCACTCTGTATTTCTGGATAGGGAAAAGCTAATACATATATATGCTTGTCTATAGCCCTTCTTACTATCCCTGGGGATGGATAAATCCCTCCTTGCCTTTGTTTGGATTGCAGGCCCCTTAACAGGAGCCCTTGTCCAGCCATACGTTGGCATTCGTAGTGATAACTGCAGAATATCATGGGGAAAACGAAAGCCATTTATGATCGGGGGTGGGATTGCCACGATCGTATCCCTGCTCGCGCTTGCATGGACTCGTGAGATTGTGGGCGGCATGTTGGGCATATTTGGCGTTCCTTTCGGCTCTGAGGGTGTCAAAGTAACGTCTATCGTCATGGCGACTATTTTGATGTATTGCCTTGATTTTGCTATTAATACAGGTGAGCTTGCCTTCTTGGCCTGTTAAATTCAATATGACTGTTATGTCTGATGTTGATTGACATTTGCTCGTTTTTCGTTTTAGTCCAAGCGGCAATTCGAGCTTTCATCGTCGACAATGCCCCAGCGCACCAGCAAGAGGCTGCAAATGCATGGGCAAGTCGGCTAACTGGTATTGGCAATATCCTGGGATATATCTCGGGCTATCTCGATCTACCCAAAATACTTCCCCTTTTCGGGAAGACGCAATTCCAAGTACTTTGTATGATTGCGTCCCTATCGCTGGGCATTACGCTTTTAATTAGCTGCCTATTCATCACCGAGCGGGATCCACGACTGGAAGGCCCCCCGTCATCAGATAATCCTGGAGTTATCGCTTTTTTCAAGCAAGTTTTCCATTCCATCCGCACCTTGCCGCCCCAAATCCGCAAAGTATGCGAGGTCCAGCTTTTCGCATGGGTCGGGTGGTTCCCATTCTTGTTTTACAGCACCACTTACATCGGGCAGCTGTACGTTAATCCGATATTTGAGGAACGCCCACACCTACCGCCTGAGGATATTGACGAGGCGTGGGTAGCGGCTACTCGGGTGGGCACCTTTGCACTGTTGATCTACGCGATTATATCATTCGCAGCGAGCATCATTCTTCCTCTTCTAGTCGTGCCGACATATCGACCGGCGATTTTAACCCCGAAGTCTGTTGCCTCACCCACCCGGCAGCACCCATACCTATCTCGCAGAAAGTCAGCATCAACCATATCCATCACCGTTTCATCTGCTGCGTTATCGCTACCACCACCACAACTAAGTAAACCACTTGAGCTAACTGAGAGGGAATCACCATCTCTACTCTCCTGCCTGCAGATACCGGGTTTCACCCTCCGACGCGCTTGGCTCATGTCCCACATCCTATTTACCATTTGTATGTTCAGCACCTTTTTCATTAAAACTCCACAGGCTGGAACGGTGGTCGTGTCTGTCGTTGGTATCTCATGGGCAATGACTCTTTGGGCGCCATTTGCCCTTATATCGGCGGAGGTGGCAAAAAGTGATGCAAAAAAACGCCGGAGGAGATATCGGTTGCTACACATGAGACGCGATTCTAGCGATGGTCTGTTGCCCCGATCGCGGCGGCGGGAACAACAACAACAAGCTGTTGTCGCTAGCCAGGAGGATCGTAGCGATGCTCATATGGCAGTAGAAGGTGATTATGAAACTCCCGGTCTTTCGTATCATTCCACTGCGTCAACATCCCTGCCAACCCCTGTCGCCACCGCCCATGGCCAAGATGACAAAAACGAACAAAACAACGAGGAGAGCTCCCATCGCAACGACGAAGATGGCGATAATCTTACCGTCGATGAGAGAGAAGAGGACAATGAAGATGACAATGAATCAGCAGACGACGGCGAGGTCGACACTACCGACGAAGCCGGCGTGATTCTTGGCATCCACAATGTGGCGATATCCTTTCCGCAAATCCTTTCGACTCTGGTTAGCAGTGCTATCTTCAACGCCCTGCAGAAGCCGCGCGGAGAGCCTTGGGATGATTCTGTGGGGTGGGTTATGAGGTTTGGTGGGCTTGTGACAATTGGTGCGGCGGTCGTCACGAAGAGGCTGGCGGAGGGGGGTAGCGCGGGTTCGAAAGTCGGGTTGTGGAAGAATAGGGATGCTGTATGAGCGGGAGGGCGGCTTCTTCTTTTTGTCTTTTTTTTTCTTTTTTTTTTCTTTTTTTTCCTCTTGTCTTTTCTTATTTTCTCTTTCCAATTTGGTTTCTATTGGACATATCGGGACAATGGGTTGTACGGTGAATACATTCGAGAACAGTTGCATATGTGTATACAGTCCAGCGATTGGTAGCTAAGCTATATTATGCATTACCATTACATTTGACATTGCTTGTCCCTGCTGATCTGCATTGGTAATAAATAGTATTGAGAGAGTTTGGGCTTAAAAGCGGCACCCAGCCTCACCGAATTGGGAAAGATGCCGTTAGCCAGTATTGCAACTGTCAAAGAATAAGCACCACTGCGACCACGACCACCAACCACCAACCACCATCAATACCGTCGGTCATCCTCTCCTTTTCGAGACCCAGATGAGCCAGACGGGTATACCAAAGGAAGGATCGGAACGAACAAGAGCTTCATCAGCGTTCAGTTGGTTTGCGCTCGCTCAACTCCCCTCGTTCCCTACACCCGCTCTAGTCTCTAGTTGCATGTATACGGGGCAGTCCACCTAGCATTAAGCCGGCCTTGTCACCCCCGGAAACAACAGCTCCTAAACTCAACTTCCATCGCTCCAAACCTACCTAATCTCCCTTTCAGCCCTTTGCCCACCCATCTCTCCACCCGCCGCTGTCATACGTATTCACAAACCTCGTCGCCTGCTGCTGGGAACATCGCTCGGTATCATTTGCCGGTAGTTGTGTATTGCTTATTATGAGTGCTGTCCGCGGCGCCCGGAATCGACTTGCCCCCAGAGCTCGTCTTCGTCGTCATTTCGTTCTGCCGGAGTCCACCGCTCGTCGGAGTAGTGGTAGCTGTGGAAGCTGAACAGGGAAAGGAAAGAGAGACAGTAACAAAGGGCTGGCTTGATAGCCTCAGAGGAAAATATAAAAGCTAGGATCGAGGAAGGAAAAGAGGATAAAAGAAAGGGAAAAAAACAAATATAAAACCCGCTCAGGAGAGTGGTATAGGGTTAAGAGGTGGGGGAAAGTTGTTGACATTGACTTCGTCGTCGCAATGGCGGAATTTGTGAGAGAGGTGCTGGTTGATGTTTTGCGTAGGTCCATACTTTAGTTTCTTACGTTGCTGTCCCGGCGGGTTTGGATGACATCCATAACTACGTATATATCTTGCTAACGAACTTTTGCATCGACAGGGAAGAGAGCGGAGGATGATAGTGACCCTGACGGTTCGTTATATACCATCTCCCTCCTCCATAATTTCTCCTGGTCTCCTGTTTTTTTTTCTCCGTTGCAACTCTTGTGTCCTGATTTTCGCGGGACTCCCTTCAAAATCCACTCACACATGCAGATGCCCTTGTGCACAAGAATAATCCACATCTTATCTTGGCTGGCTTGCTAACGTTGGGTATTCGAACCGTATGCAGAGTCGCCGGAAGCTGGCGAGAAAGAGCTCTTTGCATCATGGGCTCTTTTCATCCTGATCATGCTCCTAATAACGGCCCTCTTTACGAGCTACATCCTACAGCAGAAGAAAGTTCAGGCGGTGCATGAGACCGTTATTTCAATTTTCGCTGGTAAGTTTGTGTGGCTTCTCGTCCTGTGGACAATATAAGGTCTGCATTTAATCGGAATGACAATGTTTTACTAATGCTGGTGCCGCTGTATTAGGAATGGTGGTTGGCTTGATCATTCGATTAACCCCGGGAACCATAATACAATCTTCAGTTTCATTCAATTATCAATTTTTCTTCAATCTTCTTCTTCCTCCAATTATTTTGGCATCTGGTTATGAGTTACATCAGGTAAACTTTTGCCGCAGGCCTCTAACCTACATGAGAAAAACATGGAATCATTTTGCTAATTACAGCGAGTAGGCAAATTTCTTCCGAAATATCGGAACGATCCTCACATTTGCTTTTGTGGGCACATTTATTTCCGCGCTGGTCTTGGGTCTCATTTTATACTTGTGGTCCGTGATTCCCCTGGACGGATTATCGATATCGTTTGTCGAAGCGTTTTCAGTCGGAGCTACGCTCTCGGCAACGGACCCCGTCACTATTCTCGCTATCTTCAATGTATACAAGGTCGAACCTAAGCTTTATACTGTGATCTTCGGGGAGTCGATTTTGAACGATGCGATTGCTATCGTGCTTTTTGAAACGGCGCAGAGATATAAGCCCGGCAATGCTGCGGGATCGCTGACGCTGCTTAGTTTATTTGAGGCAGTTGGTGTATTCTTGCTCGTGTTTTTTGGAAGCTTGGTGATCGGGGTGGCTGTTGGTATATTGACCGCCTTGGGTTTGAAATACACCCATGTGCGGAGAGAACCTAAGATCGAGAGCTGTCTCATCGTCTTAATTGCTTATGCCAGTTACTTCTTCTCGACGGGAGTTCATTTGTCCGGTATGTTTTTATGCCCTGCCTTTTTTTTCCCCCTTTTTTTCCTTTTTTTCCTCGCGAGTTTAGAAAAGCACTTGTGTGAATTTTTTCGTTAGAAGTTGGCTAACCGCCATATCCGGATAGGGATCGTGTCGTTGCTATTCTGTGGCATCACATTGAAGCATTACGCGTACTATAACATGTCGCGTAGGACGCAACTCACAACGAAATATCTTTTTCAAGTGCTGGCACAATTATCGGAGAATTTCATTTTTATCTACCTCGGTCTGGACTTGTTCACGGAACCTAATTTAGAGTTCAAACCGCTTTTCATCATGATAGCAGTGGTTGGGATTTGTGTTGCTAGATACATGTCCGTCTTCCCCCTTTCAAAGGCAATCAACTGGTTCATTAGATATAGAGCTAGGCGTCGTGGAAGGGAGGTTGCCGACGAACTTCCTTTTGCCTACCAAGGCATGCTTTTCTGGGCTGGTCTTCGTGGTGCAGTCGGTGTGGCTCTCGCAGCCGGCCTTGAGGGACCTAATGCCCCAGCGCTGCGAGCAACAATTCTCGTTGTCGTCGTCCTGACAGTTATAATATTTGGCGGGACAACAGCACGAATGCTTGAGATTCTCGAAATCCGCACCGGCGTCGTCGAGGAAATTGACTCCGATGATGAATTTGATATTGAGATCACTGCTGGAGGAACGTACTACAAACACGATGGAACTGGCGTTGGCCACATCCCAAGGCGCAACGGACACACCGTGCCCCTGGACACTATGAACCTAGACCGTGAAGATGTCGCAGAAGGCTACTCGAGCGGCAACAACGGCCGCATTGCACCACAGCGGACCCAAGGATCCATCGCTGCCAGGAAAAACGCAGTGTACGGCCCTAGCCGTCACGAGCGGTCGCGTGACCATGCATCTACACAGAATCTACTTGCAAGTCACGCCGGGAGTAAAGACGGGAGTCCCAGCAGCAGCAGTGCTGATGATGGAGACGTGGGGGGATTTTCATCATTGAACAGAAACCCTGCCTTCTCAAAGCGTCCCGCGACGCGTACCGTCAGCGGCGGCACGCAGGAGAACGACGCGGATATCGATGACTTCGAGTTAGACCTTGACGCGTTCTCGGATGATGATCTTCCTCCCGCTGCCCCAGGCAGCGGCAGCAGGGTACAGGCATCAGGGGAGCCGGTATCTTCAGTGAATACGCAAACTGCGACATCCGCCCAGCAACGTGTCTCCCCTTCACGTGCCACTACTCTTGGTGTCGCTGGAGGTGATGGGATGGGTTCGGGTGCTCTGGCAGAGGCATCGCAAGGAGCTGCAGGATCTTCTTCCTCGTCGAAGCCGGGCGCTTCGGCCGTGATCCGGGAATTGTTCTCCAGTGGTGCTGATGTTGATCATGCGGCTTGGTTTCGGCAGCTTGATGAGGATTATATTAAGCCGAAGCTACTGCTAGACCAGGGGTCTGGGCATCGCCATCATAAGGGCCCGGGAGCTGTATAAAACTTTTTTTCCATTCCTTAAGTTTTTTGCAATGTCGTTTGCCCTTTGTTTTTAAGGTTCATAAATAAATGTATGTATATCATCTTGGTGTTCCTTGATTCATCAAGGGGTTCTTTGTGTATGTGTGAGTTTACATGATACGTTGGGGAGGAAGTATACGTTAATTAACGCAACCAACTGATTTGTACAATTTGTTTTGCCTTTCCTTCTTTTTCTTTTTCTTTTTTTTAGATCTTTTTTGTTCTTTTTCATTTTATTCCAATCTCTCACACACGCTTCTCTCTTTTCCTCACTGTTTTTCATGCTCAATTTATCCGCGAGCTTACGAATACCCAATTTAACAAATTTGAATTGGATCTAAGTAAATATACTCTTGTAGAATTCCCGATATCCTCCTGTGTTGTAGTTGAGCATGGTTCTAAGCTTCAAGGGTTGGTCACATTTTGAGCCACGTTTAGCCAGATCTTAAAGTTAGGGTTAGTTGAGGATGGAGCCTGAAAATTTTATTTATTTTACGTTCTTCAAGGAGTAGCTAGCGATTTCAATCATGTCGGAACTATGTCCACCGTCAATGGGATATGGAGGCCCCTGAAGAGTTGCTGGTGACTGCGCCAACCATATTCAAGCTACATATCAAGTGTTATAGTAAAGTACTGACCTTTCTACGAAATGTACAGTACGAAGCAAGCGAGAATGAGCAAATTCCTGGCAATTCAAAGAAGGAACATTACAAGTACATCTAACTATATCAAATTCTTCTCCCCACATCTTTCCACTCACTTGCTTGCTCCCAGCCATTTAGCGTCGTTTTGCCTCGTTGATTACTGCTTTAGTTGCAATTTCACTTGATTCTTCTCCTTCCCCCCTTTTCACCCTTTCATTGTGCTTAAAAGAATCACCTTGTTAAAACTAAAGCAATCCACCCGCCCGACAAACAGAAAGCCAGAGTCATCCCCACTTCCCATCTGATGTTTGACTCTCATCCCCCAAAAACAAGTAAATATAGCTATGGGCCCGTCTGGGTTGTTTCTCGTTCTACTCTGGCATCTTGAGGACATAGCGTCCGGCGACTTTTCCTTCTTCTGTAAATGAGGGTTAATATATTTATTAGCATCTGACTGCGTCGTAGAGTCTTATACAGGAAAGGAACAAAACTCAAAAGGGCGCTCTCGCATATAAAGAAATAAAAAGATGAAGAAATGAGGAAGCAAACAACTTACTCATTAACGAGAAGACATTCCCCAACTCTGACAACTCCACCGTTTTATACGGCACCTTGATTTTGCCCCTGGTGAAGAAATCAACCGCTTCCTTCGCGTCCAGCCGATTGCCCACATAGCTGCCCTTGATGGTAATCATCCGCACTACCGTGTCGAACACGGGCGCCTTGAGCTGTGCCTTGGCCGGTAAGCCGATGGCGACGATGCAGCCCTTGGACCGCACATATGCAGTCGCCTGCTGGAAGGGCAATTCCGCCGCTGCGACGAGTAGTACGGCGTGCGGGCCCAGGCCATCCGGTGAGGCAGCCTTCACGTCCGCGACGAGGTCTTTGGTTTTGGCGAAATCAATGAAGGCCTGTCAATCAAGAGAAAAAGATGATGGATGATGATGTTCTTAGTTTTATATCTCTTGCCATATTTTTCTCCATGATATTGTATTTTCTTCTTCTTCTTCTTCTTCTTTTTAAATGGAGGGGAGAAATTTAATTGTTCCCACTCACCCTCGCCTCAAGCTTTTCGCACAGCGCTCTCTTCTCATCTCCTGTATCAATTGCAATAGTCTGCAACCCCATCGCCTTAGCATACTGCTGCGCCAGCGAACCCAAGCCGCCCCCAGCCCCGACAATGGCTACGGCCTGCCCCGGCGTAGCGCCGCTCTCTTTCAGGCCCTTATAGACCGTGACACCCGCACATAGTATTGGCGCCACTTCATCCAGCTTCACCGACTTGGGGATGGGCGTGACATGTGCCGCCTTCGCGAGACAGTACTGCTGGAACGTCCCGTCGACCGTATAGCCCGAGAGGATGGCATCCGCACACAACGGCTCATCGGCGCCCTCGCAGAAGTCGCACGCCAGACAGGACCCGTTCAGCCACTTGACGCCGACGTGCTCGCCGATCTCGACGCTAGTGACGAGAGCTCCGCGCGCCACCACGACGCCGGCACCTTCGTGTCCGCCCACCAGGGGCATCTTCACGGGCAGGGGCCAATCGCCCATCATCGCGTGCAGATCCGTGTGGCACACTCCCGAGTATTTTACGTTCACGAGGACTTCGTCGGGTCCGGGGGTTGGGACGGGGATTTGTCGGTACTGCAACGGTCCGCCGATTTTATCGGCTACTTGGGCCCATTGGGATGTGGGGATGACGGGTTTCGACATCTTTTTGCTCTTATCCTTGCTTTCTTGGTTCCTTGTTTGTAGGGTTAAGGGGGATTGGTTTTGGGGGGGTGTCCGCGAGAAGTTGTAAGGTACGGATTCGTGATTTGATTATGATTAATTCAGTGAAATGGCCTGGGAAACGACGCCTTAATATGTGGAAAATATCGTGGAAGAGGGCGTTTCAGGACGGCTGGCTACAAAATAGTACTTGGACATGGGCAGCCGGGTCACAGGGACCGGCCATCATGCCACCAGAGATGAATCCCTGGATATGCGCAGTATAGGATGTTATCAGAAAACCAGGAACGGGTTCCGCGTTCGCCTCTGCCATGCCTATTCCCCACATGTTTTCCGGCTCCAAATAAGCTTTAGAGATAGTATGATCACGGATGCCAGTATCCATGGACGGTTGGCCCCGGCTCTGCTATTACATCACAATCCAGAGAACAGACGGGGGGAGGATGGTTTGCGGAAATGGCCAGGTTTTAGAGCATATTTAAACTGTTAGGAATTTTACTCATGTATTTCCCAATCGACAGCTTTTGCCTACAGCAGGAATGTCTAGAGGTCTCGATTAACAATGTCTATGTTTGTATAGATACAATCACGGGGAAGCCTCTGTAGCAAAAGCCACTCTGCTTCATCTCGTATTCAATTCTGGTGAAGTAATTTTTTCTTTCCTTTTCCCTGGCATTAATACATTTCTCTGATATTGAAACGTAACCGCCTTCGATTGATTTGACCGTATATCATCGCTTCCCCCCAGATTCTCGTCTCCAAATCTTCCTAGCCATTTAAAACCACCATAGGGGTCCTTCAAGCACTGATCGGATGGCTGGTATGGGGGTGGCAATTCCTCCCAACACATTTGACATCACATTTTTAGCATTGCTGACTCTGCCGAAGAGAAATGCAGCAACTTGATTTTTTATATTTAAGATGCGGCGGCTAGAGGTGGAACTTTTTTAAGGCCTGCTGATGTTTTGCGTTTAACTCTATTGAAACCGCGTCAAACCGTAACCCCGCATACCAAAAAGTCACCGTTGGTTTTGAGATATTGAGAGAGTTTGTCCCACTCAACCAAGGTTGGCGATGTTGCTCGAGTAGTTTTCAATCATGTGGACAATGTATTTAGCCGCCTTGAATCAAGGGGCTTTGAGATATCTAGGTGCAGGCTCCCATGAGCTGAGTGGTGGGTTTCAGTTGCATCTTGTCCGCCCCATTCCCCTATACCATAGTGAGCGTTTGGTGCTATCCGACTTTGGAAACGTAATAAGGCCGTCTGCCTCTGCAGTAAACCAAGGGTGCTTGCGAAGATTCAGCCATTTTCCAGCTTCTTGGAGCATTAGTCGGCTATTGCAATGAGCGGCAGAGCGCTCTCTCGAGAGAACCGTAACATTACGCCAAAATGGATCTCTGGGCGAAAGCAACATCATGTTTCTATACGTTTTCGTACGTATTTTGCTTCCAATCCTGGCACAGTGACTGGTAGGGGAACAGGGGGGTGATTCATAGCTACATATTTAATCTATAAAATAAGCCGTGGAAGTCCTTTAGCACAGGGTTGTCAAAGAAGCTAGTTCTACTCCTGTGTAGAGTTTCTCATTCAGCTCTGCTTTTCACACTGGCGCTTGAGCCCATGCCTTTATTCGATAATTATGAGCTCTGGTGGGGGAGCGAAACTGATTCCTCTCCCTCCTTCAAAAGACCAGTGATTTTTGCTCCAGTAAGCCTTTAGCGTCGTCATTTCTGTGACAGATTTTGACTTTTTGATAAGGCGTTCATGGAGATCTTTCAGAAGCGCAGGCAGACAGGCAGATACGCCTATTTTTCACATCTATTCTCAATCATTTTGCTTGAGACTTAGATATCTGAGAAAAGAGTTCTGTCGCCGCATCTTGAATCCATCATATCTCCATATATGATGAGTATTACAGGTAATTTTGGTATTGGTGCAAAAGAAAGCCATAAAAGAGAGGAAATTCAGAAGATTGATTGAAGAAGCATTGAGGACAGTACGGAGTAGAAGCATACTAGAATAGGGTTCGTCAAAGTCAGTGCGTGAGGTCAGATTTTTCGCTGGGGACAGCGTCCAAATAGTTTGACCCTAAAACCGCTAGGCCTTACCTCATTCGGCAGCCATTGATCGAAAATCGGATAAAATTTCTTCCGGCAGAACATCGCCACATGACACAAAAGCTTCAACGTCCATCAAATTTACTACATAACTACCCCAGCTATGAAAAGAAGCCTGTTGGAAGCTATTATCGCGCACAAGGCCAAACATCAAAAGACGATTTCCGCAGTTGGTCTGTTAACGTCAACATAAGGAACCTGTAGGTTCTGTCACAACAGCTGGCGGACTCTTCCCAGCAGAGGCTTCTATGCGCACAAGTGATTAAGTGAATAGTAAGTCCAGTTGATATCTGCCTCCTGCGTACGGACCGGTGCTTATCATATGTCTTGCTGTGGCTGAATAGTTGAACTTCAAAGCTTGGTCCATTCCTAGCCAGCCATGTTACCCATCCGGCAATTCGTCGAAGACTGGAAGCTGCGTTGGTATGAATTATTCGTCATGGATGGTCATTCTGAACAGCCTACGTATTATGAAATACATGACGCCGAAACGAATGCCTATCGTATTACCTGGGGGCTAGGAGTTTTCAAGGAACGTTTCCAGCGGAGATATCCCGTGAATACCGATGCTATACAATTGATCGGTGAAGTGGAACAGGCTCTTCGGGATGACCATGGTGGGAGACTCCCTTGTGATGTTCTTTCTTTCTGGTGTTGGCAGCGCCTACGCCGTATTTCAGATCGCCGAACCTTTGCTACGCCGGAGGAAAAAAACGCAATGGTAGCAATATATGAAAGATGGAAGGACGAAGCCTGGATTAAGGAACAGTTTTGGGCGATCAAAAATGCAGCGTATCTTGATAGTAGCGGGTTTCCTGATTCAAGGCTGAAACGGTTGTCAGATGAAGATTGCGTGCCGGTACTCCAGTCTTTGCGCGACTGGCTTGCAAAACGTAAGAACGGTCAAGTTTATTAACCAGGGCCACTGCCTTACGAAAAGCGTTTGTCCACCTGTAATAATATCTTCTTAATCAATACAGCTGATGTTGTAGCTCACTCACTTCTCCCGATTTAGTCGCAAGATCAGGCATACCATATATCTTGTACTTTCAAGTTCTATGTTGATATCCTCAACTACAGCAGTGTGCTATGGTTGTCTTCTTTTTTTGTTGCATTTATCTGGATAGGAACCTCTCGCAAGGTTGACTGAGAATCTGGAGCTTTTTCTTATTTTCTTCAGCATCTGCATGCTGTGCAGTCTCTGGTTGTTTGACTGCAAAAGCAGTTGCAAAGGAACAAACTCATGAACAAAATGCACTTATCAGGGTTATACACTCAAACAATCATATTGATGTATACCTACCTCTCTACCCCATTCTTTTCAAGTTCTCAGGGGCTGGGTCCCAGTGAATGTCAACCTGACCGCAGCATGTGGGCAGCGACATCTCAGTTGTGTTGTTGTGCCAACAACACACTCCCCCCCATCATGCCTTCCTAGTTATCTCATCCCACCCTCTCCTGAAGAGACATCAGCACAATAACATCACGTTGGCCATTCTGTTCTTGAATCCCAACCTCCTTTGTTCTCACCCCCTGAACCCCCTGAAAGAACATATTAAAACGTGATAAACAATGGCTGAATCCCAGATTGGGTAACTCTCCCCACTTTCCCTCTATCATCTTGATCATGCAACTCACCATGCTTGTGTCCCATTCTAGTGATGAACTCCCATACCGTCGCGTGTGGTTAGACTCGAGAGAGTTTGAGGACGACCTGAAAGCCTACGCCGCTAACGGCCTCGATGACGAGCTAAGGGCTAGAAGCAACGTCGCCTTTGCGGAGGAGTACTATAAGCAGCCAGTGAGGAAAGGTTGGGCCTCTCTCATCCTATCGTTCTGGCTGCCCACAGTGCTCCATATTACGGGGACATGCACCTCGGACGTCTTCATTAAAAGCGTTCAGCAGAGGGACGTTGCGCCCCTTATTCTTCTCGTCTTGGGCATGGTAATGACCTCCTTCTCGCTGTGGTACCAGCGGGAAGATAATCATAAGCCAGGTGTAGGAGTAAAGTTTCTTCACGGCCTTGGCTCACTAGTTGTTACTGGATTAAATGCTGCATTAGCAGCATATATTCTTGGCACAGCTAGGGGGAAGCCAGACCTTCGAGCCGCCATATCATCTATAGTTATGGCTATTGTCAGTTTATATGCCTCTGCTGGCAGCTTCCTGCTGCTCCTGAAAGGGGTAGCTGGTAGCCTAGCTGAGGCAACATGGGCTGGAA